CAAATTCTGAACCGATCTACACACATCTGTCTGCCCGTCAGTGTGTTGTCTATTCTGAACATTCTTCTGGCCGCAAAAATGCAGTTATCAGCTTCAAATTTGGCAAAAAATAGCAAATTCTTGAAGGCAGGTGGGCACTGAAAATGGGCTAAGGTAAAGGGATATGTCCACAATAATACGTAAATTGAGAATATCTCTGTCTTTCAAAAGGAATCAATTATTGATTATTTGCTCGCTTTTATTCACTTCGACTATGGATGCACGTGTATAAAAATAGAAAATATCGTCCACCCCCACTTCATATTATTGTGTATCGCAATTTGTTTTTTTTTCCGTCAAAACCTTTATAAGGCCCAGACACAAACTCCAAAATCTCCATAAAGTATGTACATTCTTAACCAGTGTCATTACACTACTTATGGTACAGAGCATATTAACTTAAGGCGGTCGTATGCAACGGATATAGACAGCGTCGGCTGCAGTGAAATATTTTTTGCATTACTTTAGAAAACCTCAGTCCTTGGCTGCGTCTTTCGACGCTTTGAAGTGTTGTACCCAACGAACATTGCGTTGTATTGTAGTGCGTAGAACATCAAGGAATGCCGATTCTTCTACACTGACCTGACCAAAAGAGCCAGGTTGTTCATCACTTTTCCTGTGCGCTGTGGGAGGCAACTTTGAGATTTGGCGGCGTTAAAACTTACCCTATTCACCTGACCCTACGTTTATATTTTTATAGGGTTCCGATTTAGTATGTCAATCATGGTGCAGCATTTGTTTTGCATCTCGTTGCTGCATGGACTCTACTGAATGAAAACGAGTGACGCAAGGTGCTACTGGTTTGGTCACAAGATGTCGTCAATGAATGCTATAAGGACAGGAGGAGAAAGACCAGAGCCTTGTGATACACTTGCATTTAAGTAGACTGCATTTGAGGAAGACCCGGCAATAACTCTTCTTGAACAGTCGTCTAAGAAGATCGATATGAATTGAACGAAAATGCTGTCGACACCAATTAGCTTGGAGGCAAAAGCACTATGTCATACTCTGCCTTGGAAATATCTAGGACAGCGACATTTCTTTCGCGTCAGTGATGTATAGCTCGATTCCACTTTTCAAAAGGATAGGATGCCAGGTCACCGGCTTATCGGTATTTGCGAAAGCTATACTGCCTGTCGCTAGTTAGATCGTTGGTTTTTAAATATCTCCTTAGATGCTCGTTGACCTTGGTCTCCTTGGTCTTGGCTACAAACTAGAACTGCGCAACAAGCTGCAATTGGGCGATAGTTTGCAAGATAACTGGAGTGACTGAATGTGAAATCGATTTTCATTTCTAATTTTAACTTAAATTTGTGTACGTTTTACTTATGGACTGAATTTGGACTGTACTTTATTTTTTTTCTTTTTTTTGTATAAAAAATGAACTGAATTTGTTTTTAAAAATATCTAGTATAGATTTTGTTAATACTTTTTTGCACGGTTATTTGGGAAAATAAGTAGCCTTTTTTATACCCACCACTGTAAGATGGGGGTAAACTCATTTTGTTTTTTTCCGTAATGTATGTTACACCCAAAAGGAAGCTTCAGAGACCTTATAAAGTATATATATTCTTGATCAGCGTAGAATTCTGAGTTGATTTAGCCATGTCTGTCCGTCCGTGTACCGTGATAAAATTTTTTCGCAATAATACCAGCGATATGGGTATCAAATAAAAGAACATGCAGAGTAGAATGCGAAAAGCATGCGGATGAGTACGCGAGATTCGGCCCCCGCCAAACATGACTTTCTTACCTGTTTTATCTCAACCAACTTTTTAAAATTATGAAATATATCTCGAAATATGCCGCATGTATTTTATTACTCGATTTCTTTGTACGGTTTTCTGAGGAACGCATCTACCGGGTACAAAAAGAGTTTGCTGTATTTGCAATAAGTTAAAAAGATATAGTAAAAAGAGATAGTAAGTTAAAACGATATAGAATAAATTAAAAAGAGATAATCGGCAGCTCCACTGTTCAATACATTTATTGGCGCGTAAAAGTAAATCACACGGATACAACATATATTGTGGCGCATATATCACGTGAAGAAGTAGGTTCTTTTAAATAGAATATCTTAGACCATTCGAAAATTATTGTACTGAAGTGAATAGTGTGGTTGCCATTCAAATAGTACCCTCTTCAAAACCGTAGACAAATGAACGCTGCGCTGCAGAAACTGTGGGTTCAGCGGCGCTTCTTAGCAAGAACATTAAACTCTCCTAAATTTAACATTGATATGCAGGTTTCTTTTTTTTTTTGTTTAATAAATGTATTTCTCAACCTCACTCACATGATTGAAATTTGTATTTCTTATCGGAACGTCTTATTCCCGCCATCTTAAAAATGATTACAAAAATGACAAAAAAGAAAACCTAAAATATTTCAAGCTATGCTCCTATATCATTATCCATTCGTTAAAGGAATGTTGTCGCGTAAATGAAATTTGGGCACCGGGATTATACATCTTTTAATTAATAGCTAGCTCTCATTCGAACGGCCATTTCGTTGCGAGTTACGTATGGTTTTCGCGGTTCGAAATTTATTTTTAAAAAAATTATGGAAAAACAAATGGCAAATATGACGTTTTCTTGTTTACACTCGTAATACACTCAATAACCGATTTGGATACCAACGTGAATATATACAAAGTTATGTAAAATTGAAATAATTTCATAAAATTTCATATTTTCTTTTTTTAGGAAAACGTTACCTATATATAAGGCTATATAATGTTTTAAATAAAATTGCAAATCAATCCTAGTTTTGTGTTATGCAAATAAAAGCGAGCCTTTTAATGTTCACAGAACATCTTAAAGCGAATTTATTTTTTGTCTTTTAATTCAATTCGAAAGCGCAGAAGATGTCCCTGAGTGGCCTCTAGCGAACCGCACATCGATACTGTCGCCAAAATACGTTTGCTTGATCAACGAAATCAAAAGTTCACTGCCATCATTTTCATGAGGTCGCACACCCTACGAATAAAATATTTATAGCTATATGGGCATATATATATATATATATATATATATATAGTTTAGCCATACAGTATAACTCACCATAATTCCATTGAGCGCTATGTTTGCGTTTTGGGATTGCGTTGGGGATTTGGGATTTTGTGCGGGGTTACTATAATGTGAATTCCGTCTATGCATGCAATCATCGTCAGGAAGAAGTTACTCGCAGCAATTTTTCCTAAAACATTTGTAAAAATCTACGGGTAGCGATATGTGTACATTTATTTGCTTACACATTTTCAAGTAAAGTATTTGAGTTTGAATTCCGCTGAGCCCTTCTACGTCTCCGAAGATTCCTTTTCCGCCAGTCACGATATTCCTCCACTTCCAAATAACGTAATATAAGCGAAGGAACCGTTCCGCCTGATTATATATATATTTTCCTCAAGATTACTTGATTTATATAATAATAACAACAATTTCTTTACCTTTTTATTTTGTTTTATTTAGTAAAATGGATTAGGCCTGTTAGCCCCCTGTAAGACCAAGATATCCAAGATGGAATGATGAGTTTTTATTTTATTTGTTGATCCTTTGTCCTTTGCCTACGATGCATAATTGATTAAAAACTTTCGCGTATTAAGACTATTAATTAGACAATTGGAGTGAAAAGCAAAAAAAATAAATTAATTAATTAATGTACTTAGCTTTCACAAATTTAAAATTTCTTGCTGTGATTCAGCAATTTGTAGGTAAATAATTTTGTTTGGAATTTATTTTATTTTCAATTGGCAGCTGTTTTCCTTTTTTTAAATTGCAACTCTACACAAGCAGTACTAACGCAATGCTTGAACTATTTACCCTACGTCCGATTCGACAGCTTCGAGAGAGCATTTCTTGCATCTCTTGTGCATACATATCAAAATCAGAAAAAGTCGACAATGAAACCTAGCTAGCGACGCACATAATCAGTGTCGTGATCGTTTTCCCATCCGTGACCTCATTTCCCTGAAATATTTTCCAACTACTGTCGGCGATCTTTATCTATGTCGCAACAGATGAAAAGTTTGACATTCAAATTTCTTGGTAACTTTCTAAGCCAAAGCTTTTTCAATACATTTCTGGTGATATGTGATCCGGAGAGAAGTTGGATTGCCCTGTTGTAAAAGTCTCGTAACATTTCCTGCCTCCTAACACGGTTTCCGATAATATTTCATTTAACTTCTCGCTTTCGCTAAACGAGTGTCTCTCCACAAGACCCTTTTCGAAGTCAGTACACTTATTTGTAATTTTCCGCATTTACTTTCCGAACAACTATTTCGTACATTACTCAAGTGAAAATGTGTCAGTTCTAAAATAAATATGATGAACGACACGACCTGGTTGAGAATTTTTCTTAATAATACCAACGATATTGGTATCAAAAAACGTGGAGAATAGAAGGCGACAAGGTTATGTTAATTCTAAGTGGAAGTGGAAGTCTAAAGGGGCAAGTCACGATGCTCATTTTAATTAATTTTTCTTAACAATATCTTTTAGGGAAGTGAAAAGTGATCGACAAATTTGGTCCTATTCGTTTAGGGCGCCAAAGATTCTAACGGTGTAGGGTATGTGAGTTTCGGCCTCAGTCGAATATAACTTTTTTACTTGTTTTAATTTGTAAATATGAAGAGAAAATATTAAATGTCTTTCAATGTGTGATTTCCTCACTTAACTGTTGGTACATATATCCCGCTTCCGCCTCCGTTTGTTTCGAATTCTTGTCCTTTAAACAGTTATTGCGTTGCTTTGACTTGAAACTGAGAAAACTTTCTCGCGGATTAATTTTCCATTCTCACTCATACGTACCCTTTTATTGTTAACCTTTTCATGTGACTGCGTGTGCTTCTCCCCTTACCTGGAATCATTATGATTCCCATTAGACTGACTGATAAGTACGTTTAAGTTTAACAATAATTTGAGAGAATACGTAGATGGATAATAAATCATGGCTTACTTTCTGGGCACATATAATTTCTAAGATTGAAATTTGATCTCGATATATTACATAACGCTGATAAAAAAATGTGTATAAAATGTTAACCTATAAAGTTTAGCAACATTGTTTGTTCTAGTTATTCGTTCCATGGCGGTTGAAATCCCTATAGTCATAACGGTGCTACTACTTTCAATGATTACACACTTTGCGATACTATCAGATTCCATTTTAGTAACAAGGGCGACGGGCGGCGTTGTTATAATTATAGGAATATTAACAATTTACGTTTTCTTTATGATTTTCGTTATTTCGCAAACATATTCCTCCACCATATTTAGTCCAATGAGACTTTCTATTTCCGATAGCTTAACAATTAATACAAAAGCTGAAAAGTTACGCGTACTACTTTACCCTGGAATATGCAATTGTCCAAGCTACCAAATCCAATTGCACTTTTCTCAATCTAGCGTATTAATTTAGGCATTTCATTTGATTTCTACCGCAATTTTAAAGCAACGTCATACCAAGGCCGAAATCAGTATCGCTCCCGCATATATAACTGATACATACAAGCAAATTACCCATACCAGGAGAAAAGCCAAACGATGAGATTGAGAAATTAAATCATTTCACTAGGTGACTGTCTAGGACGGATATATACATCACGATCCGTCCGTCTGTGCTTGGCGGGTATTTGCCATAATAATGTATTTTAGAAGATATTTTTGTCATATTGCCAGTTATCACATTTTATTACAATCTAATTTCATATTGCGTACACTCTGTGTTCGACGTTTGCACGAGTATATCGCTATCGTGAGGTCGACACCGTTAGGTGATTAAGATTGAGGGTAGACATCAGCATTTTGTTTTGGGTCATATCTTCAATCACTATCTCTGATTCGAAGCAAGATCAATTCCATTAATTATTCCTATTTTCCTAGTCCTATTTTCACAGAATACACAAATATAAAAATATGTGGATGGAAAGGTAGACGATTGGAATCAGAAAAGGAGAGAAACCGGAAAACACTATCAATTTTCTATCACCCCACTGACTTGAAAAAATAAAACCCAATTTATTTTTTATTTATTTATTTATTTATTTCGTTTTTTTTTTTTTGCAATTATGTATAAAGTGTTGTTTATTTTTTTTATTTTTATGATAATATAATTATAATTAATATTGTTGCTGTTGTTGTGGTTGTTGTTGTTTTTTACTTTATTGTATATAAATAGATATATATCGGGGTATGTATATATGCGTATGCCACTCACAAATTGTATATCGTACGTTTCATAAACAATATGATTACTTATTTTTATTTAATATAAAAAAAAAAACTTCCAAAAAACAAAAAATATATTATAACCAAAATGGTAAAGTCTATCGTTACTTAATGGAGAATAATGTCATGAAATGTTATCGATATCAAAATGGAAAACAAAAATTGATTTTGTAAAAATACCACAGAAATTAAGCATCAGTTTGTAAATCTTAAATTTAAAGCGCTTCCACATTAAAATGGCTTAGAATTTATTGAGCCCAAAAAATTTGTATAAATTAGTCTGTGGCAATAAAAATTCGTTTTTAAAAAAATACGATGCATATACATACATATACATATATACATATACATATATATATATATATATATATAATCATAATTTTTTATTTTTTTTATTTATTACTTATTTACTGAATTGAGTATAGAATAGATCCTTATTGTTGGATCTTTTGAGGCATGTGCTCTCTATAAAAAACCACTGCTACTGTATATAAGTATTTGTATAGGTTATTATTGTGTAAATGTAAAAAATGGTTCTCTTAATATGGCAAAAGGGTTTCCTTTTATTTTTACTTATTTTTTTTTTTTATTTTTTTTTTTTTTAATATTTATTTCTTTTATTAAACAAGTCTTTTCGTTTACTGATCTCATTTGCTTCTATTGTTTTTCATTTGTTTTGCATTTTGATTATATAATAAATATTGTATAAAAATTTTGACAAAATGTTCTTCGCACACATTAAGAGCGATAGTTACAAAAATTCCATGTGTATGCATAAATATGTGAATGTATGTGTATATTATTGCATTATCAGTCTATCGCGTATTGAAATACTGTGTTGTTAAATGGCCATCTACTAAAAAACGGGTGAAGAATGTATGAAGGAATTATTATTAATTGATCAAAAGATTAATTTTGCTAGGCAGACGGGAAATCTAAAATAAGAAAAATTAAAAAAAAAGAAATTAAAAATAAATTCCTTTAAATATAAAGAAAAACTTCTCTTTCATCGTTTTGATCGATAATCAATGCTCACATTAATATCATGGCAACAAATCTCTTTATAAACGATTCGCTACTAAGGGCTTAAGGAATTTGCGAAGGTCAGACATAATAAAAAATATTGTTCTTTTCTACTACTTTCGCTCCTAAAAGGGGTTAAAGTAATTGTTTTTTTTTTTTTTTTTTTTTTCAATTCATTATTACTGATTGTCAACTTTCCCTCTTGTCGCAAATTTTATAGCATTCTAGTCTTGCCACTCAGTTTCGTCTACACCTTCCATATCATCCTGCTCGAGTTTTGTGTTATATTCCATGCGAGCACTTACAGACTTTTGTATCTGCAAAAAAAGTTACATTTTCAAGGGCAATTTTAGAAAAAGAAGAAACACGTTTCTTCATTAATTTATTGTAACCTCTTTTTGTTTATTAAAAGGCTGGTCCCCACCAGCATTTGCACCATTGCTTGCCATATTAATATCGGAACGTTTCATTTGGGTTACCAACGTCGGTTGTATGGAAGATACTAAGATACATATATTAATACATATGTATTTATTTGTAAGTAATAAAAGACTTACAACTCTCCATGCCTATTGGCTGTAAACTGATTTTTTGAGGCTTTTTATCATTTGATAAGAACCATTCGTCCGCTGTAATAGTGGGCAGCCAAGTTACCCGTGTCGGTGGAAATAAGTCGTCTTGAAATAATTCGCTCTAGAAAACCAAATCTCATGAAATTTTTTAAAAAAATGGTGCCATCTTTTCAAGCCTTACCTTAATACGTGGTACTGTAAAACTTAGTGGCTCTATGGTGGTATTGGTTAAACGGTAAGCTTTGCAAAACTCGACGCTGGCGACATCGCAATGATTTTTCGTTAGAAAACTCAAGCCCTGATGCAAAGTGGAACAGCGATGATGTGACAGAGCACACACGTATGGATCCTCGTCAGTAATTTCAAAGCAATAAATTGTTGAATCACCTTTGCCTGTTACAAATAAAGTTGAACTATCTTCATCATAGAAGGGAATTAATATGGAAGGGGAGACATCTAGACTGGCAGTGTTAAGTGGCGCTTTTAGACTATCAGTTTTGTATACACTAATCTGACGTTCGGATACTCTGCGGAATGCAAACGATAAAAATAATATTAAATTAAGTCAGTGCCCGCGTTTCCACAATACAAATGCTTTCTGGCACGATATGCAATAAATATGCTTTTACTTACTTATCAAAACCAGTACATACTATATATTCTCCTTCTAGCGCCCATATAATGCGTGCTCCTCTAGTGCCTACGGGACCATTACCTTCTCGTATCGGTGTTTCCGATTTTCTTGGATTATACATACGTATTTTACCATCTTTACATACAGTAGCACCAAATTTTCCGCAAGGACTCCAAGCGAAATCAAATATCTGATCCGTATGACCACTAAGGGTGCATTTATCTGTCATACTACGCAAATTCCACAATTTAATAGTCATATCATAACTGGCCGTAAGTAATACATCTTGAGCTAGAGGATGAAAACGTATGAAATAAATTTTATCTGCATGAGCAATCAATTCTTGTTCGGGTATATTCGTCGGCTCTGTCAAACCACCCTCAGCAATGCGCCATAGCTTTACTATTCCATCATCACAAGCAACGGCCAAACGTTTGGGATCAAAGGGATCCCACTGAAAATCCATGACATTATTTCCGTTCACTAACGACGGTATAACACCATCCGGTAGTCGACCGGGGCGATTCAATTCAAAAATGGCTATTTTACCACCAGGACCTGATAGTGGTACCGCAAATCGTTCGTGATTCGCTGTGAAGCCATTGCATTCGCCCGGTATTTGGCGGCTCAAGTTCCGCAAATTCTCAATATGGGTCGATTTATGACCAGGAGTACCTTTAAGATGACGAAATTTCGAGACTTTCCCGAATACGGTGGAAGTACGTTTAGTTGATGTAGTTATGGCCACTTCAGTAGCGGATTTCTTAAGAGCAATAGCATTTGATTGCTCGGCCATCTCCTTGGGAACCAAATTGCGACGTTTCTCCTCTAGAAGTTTACCTTCTGGCACAGAGGTGCGTTTATTATCATTGGCACTAGCTTTCGAAGTGTCCACTTTGGAAGGTTCACGCCGCCTGAGAAAGGGTAAGTAATAAGATCTTCAGAGAGTTGAATTTTCACTTTTAACGCTTACAATGGCACCGGAGACTGAGAACGCTCCTCATTGGCACTTTTCGAATGCATCTCATACATACGTCGCCTTTCAGCAATACTGTTACGTGATGGTGAGAACCTGCGTAATTCGGCATCTGGTTTGTCGTCACCTTCAGTCGAGTTCTCGGACGATTCCGAATTATTTTGTTCAAATATCTAAAGATTTGTGAAGATAGAATTGCAAAATAATGTTAAACACTGTTGGGCATTAAAAATAATTGTAAAATATTTTGTTTCTTTTTAACCTTATCGCTCGAATCTTCGTCATCAAGAGAAGACTGCTTGTATACGTATATATATTGGTGAGGTTTACGTATGCATGTGTTAGTAGTTAAGAAAAGTGAAAAGTTGTGTTATTTGTTTAGAAAAATACAGAAAAACATTTATATATCATTATTCAGTTTAAGTTAGAACAATCATTACCTTGCGCCGCTCCGAAGTGCTTAAAGATTTTTGCACACCATTGCTGCTGGTCTCATTGTCCGAGTTACTATGGCCAGTTTCTAAAATGTAAGTGATAATTATACTCTTACTGTATGATTGAAGAAAGACAATTGCTATTGTTTTTAAGCATTTGTTCTTTTTTTTTTTTAATTTACTTCAACTTACTTTTAATTTCGATTTCTACGATCAAGTCGGGTTTTACTGTTGAGGAATCAATTTCGATATTAGCGGAAGAATTTTGAGGTTGCGACAAATTCTCCTGGGAACCAGGAGCAACTGGCACTGCGAACACCTTATCGAACGATATGTCTGCGGAGTTGCTAGAGAAAGGTTTTGGTCCCAAACGAGGCTATAGTAGTAAAGTGAAATTACATTTCAAATGCAATTCGAAATGATGTTTAAATTACTATAAATTGAAACTAAGATCGTTACCTACATTTGAATACACACACATATACATAAAAACAATTGATATTCGAAGATATATTAAACTAAACAAGAGCAATTAAAACGTATGCGACTTTACAAAATCTAAGAAAACAAAAAAAGTTTACGCAACGAGAACAGAAACGAAGAATAACGAAAAAAAAAAAAGCTTAGATTGTGTCAGCGCACCTTATAAGCGCCGGGAGTTGTGGTGCGTGGCCTTGGTCGAGGCATAATACTATTACCACCACCTGCATTCGTCAATTGCCCGGAATCGGGCAAAGAATTGTTACGTGATGTGCGTGGCATAGGGGTGGGTGCCGTGCTGGCGTTGTTGCTACTGCTTTCATCAGTATTTGGCGATTCTATGTTTTGCAGAGGCGAAGACGCATCTGTGTTTATCATTCCTTCCTCGCCTTTATTATCTTTCTCTGAATCGGTTTTATATTTAGAATCGAATTTCCTCATTATTGTTGCTAATTCGTCTTTCTTTTGTTGATCGATTACCATATCTTCGTCTTTGTTTATCTTTTTCTTACTTATAATTTGATTATCGGGAGCACAACCATTAACATGTTTCAATTTGTTTTCAATATTTCTTATATATTCTTTTAAGTTGCCACGGTGAACCTTTTAATAAGTGAATATATGTATTAATTTCCCATTTAGAGTTGAAGATTGCGTGAAGATTGTAATGAGGATGTTACAGAAATTAAAAACTCTAACACTTAGCGAAGACTTTTGTTGCAGTAATAGGAGTAAAAGGTAAGGAGAATCATCAACATTACTTACAATGACTGGAGCACCTCCCAATTCCCGTTTCGCTGGATCCAAACTCATTTTTGCCACTGGCATATTCGTTCCGTTCATCCATTCATTAGCTGTGAGGTCGGTACGACAACTAGTCGTATCTGGATAAAGATCACTGTGAAAATCACGATACGTCTGAAGAAAACAGAAATTAACAAAACATTGAATATTTTGGTTTAAAAAGAAAACTCACCTTACGCGGCACTTGATACATAATAGGTACCACCATATTGGAAGTTAATTGTAAAACACGATTTACTTCACCCTCCATTACTTTAAGAGCACGTTTAGGTACCAAACAGGCACCTTTGGTTTGTTCACCCGTATGACGTAAACCTTCAATTAGAAAAGGGTCTTTCTCACTCACTTCCAAGTAATTAATGGTTGTGTCGCCTTTGCCCGCCAAGAACAACATATTCGTATCAGGATCAAAAAGCGGCATTAAAACGCCTGTTGAACAATCCAGCTCTAAAGTCTTTTCAGGAACAGTAAAATTTCTTAAATCCCGTATGATAACTTGGCGCAAGCGGGCAGCATCAAAACCAGTAGTTAAAATGCGCGACTGATTGCCTAACCATAATACACGTGAATCCTTAATACTTTGGTGAGATTCGGCTGACATTTGTATTGGCGAGCCGTTTATACGAGGATCTAATATGCGCACAAATTTATCTTTACAACTGGTAGCTAATACTGTACCATCTTGTTTCCAATTAACCGATTGAATAACCTCGGGATGTTCATTGTTAACTATAACCAAGGCAGAGAAAATTCAGAAATATTCATAACATGTGTAATGAATTTGATAGTTTACCGAACAATTCTTTTTGACCCACTAAGTCGTAGAGTGTTATACAACCTGCTGAAGTTGAATGCAGTAAACCGTCAGCTGTCGGATGAAATCCTACTGTCTCCACACGCCGCTGCTTGTGCGAGAACACGCATTCGGGATCAGTTAATGAAGTTTCCAAGCCCTTTTCCGGTATATGCCAAATTTTAACTGTACAGTCCTGTGAAGCCGTTGCCAAAAGACCGTCATGGAATGGTGAAAAGCCCAAATCAGTTACGGTATCTGTGTGAGCATGCAACAAAGGCATGGTTTTACTTTTACGACCGCAATCGTCAAGCGTCAAGACCGCTACACTTGATCCAGTATGTTCCCAGTTAAAAGCCATAAAGGCAGACGAAGCAGCAATATTATTACCATGGGTCTGATAGGAGCCCACGCATATGTCACGTATGCAAGCCTCTGGCTTTGGGACAATTGGGGCAGCATTCTTATATTTAGAGGCTTTGAAACGCCAAGCCATTGTTTTAATTTGACAAACAAAATACTCTGAACTTAGTGGTTAATAATCCGTGGATATGTCGTTTACTCAACTGAATGAATGATGTGATGTTTAAATGATCAGCAAAAACAACAAACTGTAATGTGAATGTAATAAAAGTGGAAAATTCTTTATAGTTTCAAAAATTTATTAATGCTAGTTCGATATAGATATATAACATCTTTAACAAAGCAATAAACAGTTGTAATTCCTTGTAAACAAAGACGTCGAATTTGCGATAAACATAAAACAAAGTTCGTTTCCTTCAGTTCATATGCGTCTGCATATATGTCTGCAATAACGCAGCTTCAATGATATGAAAAGAGCAATAACCCAGATTAACTGGACGAAGAATGGAAAAATGTTATACAATTGATGTTATCTCACGATTTGGAATTTTCCCGGAATTTAGATAAAATCAAAATCTATTGGGGACAAAAAAATTAAATATTTAAAAAGGCACCACCGCATATTAATTTTGATTTTCATAGGAAGTAATTTTTTTGTTTTTATTTTGATATAACTATAAACACATTTCATATCATGCGCTACCCTTATGAGAGCTGTATTATCAAATAATTCATTTTTAAAATCTCTTAGCTGTTTATTATTGCCATTTACAGTATACTTTTTGGAGCTGTTGTCTCTTCTCACGCTTTCCATGACAAGGCGGCGCTAAATAAGTAAAGATAATAGGCAAACATAGTAAAAGGTATAAAAAAAAAAAAAAAACATTTTCTTATTATTATTTAAAAGTGTAATCGCCTTAAACCCTCATTTGCATTGTTTTCGTAGGGGAACCGATTTTTTATTGCTCAATTCGCATATTGCTCATATAGAAATGGCAACTACCTCACGCACTGATAGCCTAATCACAAGCTACATACACCACTGTCGTCAAAATAAACAAAACAACAATGAGATTAAATAAATGATGCATTTATATGGCTATGATCAACCCCTAAAAGTTGTCTTTACATAATATAGTCTGTCTGCTTTTAAAACAGCTATTTATTTACATAGAACAGGTTCCGCTATAATATTTTCGTAAAAATTCCGCAAACAGTGTCACGTAACCAAATACGGATGTAACAGAGACAAAAGCACTTTTCCATTAACAAACGCAAAATAAAATGGGAGGCATAAAAGCTATTAAGATTCCGTTTAATACTTAGGTACCGATTACTCAGCATGTAACAGCACTGGTTACAATAATAGAGGAATTAAAAGAAAATCACCCTCTCTATTCAATTCGATCAAATCCAAATTCTGCTGCCACCCCGCAAAGTCATGAGTGCGAAGCAGAATGAACAAATGCACAAACCGTATGCGTATGTCTATCATTTTAATATAATTTGTTACATATTTTGCAAAAACTTAATCAACATTTGCAAAATTCTGTTAAGATTTATAAATATTAGCTTTAATCACTGCACAACACACCCTTTTTTCCAATGGGAGACGCCGACGCAGACAAAGAGCTTAAGCGCAGAAAACTCTGTATTCACTATAATTTCTTTATTCAAGTGTTACGCCTTGTTAGTATAATCGCGAAACAAATATATTTTATTTTTTGCTTTTAATTTCAACTTATAATTTTTATTGTTTCTTTCAAGCAAAATTTTTTTTTTAATTTTTCAAGCAACTTCAATAATTTCCGTACTATTGATTTCTTGTTTTTCCTTTTTTTTTTTTTGATGTATGAGAGATAAAAAACACTGAACTTGAAATTAATACAAAATATACAGTGATGTAAAGTTTACTTTCTTGCATTTGAAAAATGTGCTGTTTCAAAAAACACGCTTAATTTTTTTTTTTTTTTTTTACGTAATGTTGAAAATATTATTACTACACAATCGTAACGAATTGGGATCGCAACATTTTTACGTCAACAAATGCACATAGAGACATTGCTATTAGTTAGTAGTTGTGCGTCTGGGCTTAAAGTACATCAAATATTCTAATCACCTTGTATGTATTTACTTCTTAACTCTTGTCGGAATTGGAGAAGAATATATTTATTCTTAAATCATTCTAAATCAATAGAGTCATTGACGGAACAGTAGAATAGCAAAAGAATTATTTCAGACTTATATATATTCATAATTCAAGGGGCAGGGCATGCAATGGTTTCACTCTTTATTGTTTTTTAACGTTCCTATTGTACTTAAGTAATAAGTGAAAGATCAATTTGGTGATTTTTTTTGCAAAAATCACTTCTAAAATTTCGTTATTTTGGCAATACTAACCCTATCAAATCATATTATAGCGTTTGCGAAAAGCGGCAATCCGTGGATGATTTAAAAAGATTTAAGATATTTTAATTTAATCGAAAGTAATGGCATAAATAGTTATCTATATTTGACAATATGCGCTCGATCAACGCAGCAGCGTCTTGTAGACATATAAGGAATTGTGACGTGACGTGACGTTTATAATAAGAATGCTCCATTAAAATCGACAATATGGAATTTGCACCTTCCTGTCCTGCACGCTATGACATTAAACATGCTTCTGATTGATCAGTTCATAAAGTCGATGAAATTCTTCAAAAGAAGTGGGGAACATCAAACATTTTATTAAATAGTTAGGGCATAGAATGTGTTAAATCCAGAATATAGAAAATGAAGAAAACACAAACAATTTTTCTTTGTTCCATTGTTTTTTTTTTTTAATATTTTTTTATATATGAAGTGTTTATGTATAAAGTGTGTATTTGCTTATAAAAATGCAATTAACTAAGTTTTCGAATTACTTTAAAAGCAAAGATTTCATTATTAATGCTGTAGAAAACTATAACTAATTTTGACCATTCATATTGGTATCTGTTGAGTAAATTTAAAGAACCTCAATTTATGCTACCGAGAGAAAATGACTTGGATGAAATGTAACTTTCGCTTTAATTTTCCCCTATTTCGCCTAAACAGCTAAATACGATAATAAAATTTCTCACATGTGAATTTTCTTTTGCCATTCATAGCATCCAACAATGCGTAGACTTCTCATCTGCTTAAAACATTAGAGCAATCACCATGGAAAATTGTAACATTTCGAAACGAAACTAAAGAGCAAAATTTTAGCCATTTCTTCATTTAGTCTCTCCAGACGACTTTACGCATTAAAGGAGACATATTGTTTATTAACATTGTTTACTTGGTATTAAGCTGTGCATAGAATATTTCACAGAAAGTTATCTGACAAACCAATCCAAAATAAAAAGTAAAAACAAAGTTTACATTTGTGAAAGATTAGTAATAGATTATATTAATAAACAATTGAGTAATGTTAATCAATGTATATATAAATATAAGGCAGAATGCGTCGCAACATGGTTTTGTACTGCTGAAAGGAACAGGATTGAGATTCGGAAAGGAGAATTATCGAGACGGAGAAGGTTCCGCTACAAGGTTTCAATTCTCTTACGTTAACTTCAAATTCCAAATTTTTCTGATAAGCATAACAAATATACATACATATATTGTTAAGTTATAGGGTAACGTGCACTCGCTGATGATTATTCGAAGGGAATTTTCTCCTATAGAGATTCGGGGCAGATTTCTTAAATGAATAACCTCGTTTGCTCGGCTTGAGAACGCCAAGCCAATTAATTCCTTACATGCCAATTGAGCTAGGACGGAAGCATCACCATCTAACAGAAGCGAATTAAAGCACTAGGCATGATCTTTCAAAATTGGACAAGAAATAAAGCGATTTTTGCTATTTATCCTAACATTTCCTCTCAAATTTTTTGTTCGACATTCTCTTTACTCTCTGAAGATTAACTAAATACATAATTTTTCATATCGTCTATTTTCGTTGGGATTATGTTAGGATTAGGAGGCACACATCCACTGGAGAGTTGTTGCAATAAAATTGATTTCAATTCGTAAGAAGGAGTAGGAAGCAAAACATTGTTAATAAAAATCTTTACGTTATCTTGCATAAAAAAAGGAAAATAAAACCATTTTTGCTTTCACGATATAATTTTTCTTATTTGACTTTTGATCTTACTTCAGCAGTTATATTAAAAACTACATTTTGGGTTTTGTTTAATGCATCTTTGCAAATTTTATGCTTCGTTATACGATAGGATTGAGTTTCGATTCTTGACATGATTCTTGGCTCTCTTATTTTCAATTTTTTCGTTCACTGTGAATGATAACATGAGAGTAAGGACGAAGGTAATACATGAAGTAGGCAGAAATGAATATTAGCATTTGTTTTCATCGCGAAAGATAGTTAATCGAATGAAACGTAAAGACCCATTACCTTGGAAACGTTTAAATAAGATTGGATGTAAAGCCAATAAGGGTGCCAACAAGCTTGCGAAGCGAAAACTAACTTTGAAAGTGCAATATCTCCCGGATAAATAGTTAAAGGGATATCAAAATTATTGAAGGCTCAGCAGCCCTTGAAAGATCTCATATTGAAAGGAAAATGTAGAGTGAAAACCTTTGATAGTTCTTTAAAAAGCTCGGCATCTACGATATATCTCGTAAAGAATGCTTTTAGTGTTTAGAAAGACACAAATTTTAATTTTGCTGGAGAAATGAAATCAGGGGGGTGCGAAAATTTTTTTCGCAAATTTTCTATCTTTATAAGGGGATAATATACACTCATCAATGCGCGGAGTAAAGTAATACATGCTCAGGCTAGGATTCATGTATGCTCGGCAGCGGAATTTCGAACTGTGACCAGGGCGATGGTGGATTTTTAGATTAGAGAATCAACCTGCCGAAAAGAAACAAATAGTCGCCATAAAATTGACGAGTAAAGAACTTTTTATGGTCTTGGTTATAGATTTTCAAATAAGTGGTAAGACTGTCGATTTTCACATTTATTTGCAAGAAAATAACGCCGATGCTCACTGTGACAATGAAGCAGATATACCTGGAATGTCTGTAATGAAGCAGGCAATAGAAAGGAAGCACAAAGGGACCTTTTTCAGGACGTATTATATATGTAGACGCCTTAAAAAAAATACACTTAATTCAATTATCATGGCTCCATCTAAATTGGTATAAACGATAAAACGAACACTGCTACGTCATTTTTGGATATTTTTTATCCTACATTAGCTGCTGTACGGAGAATATTAAGTTTGTGCGGATCTATGAAACCCAGAGAAGCATAGGTAGATAGAGTCGCCTTTTATTATATCGGCCGTTTCAGGAAATTATCTAAGCTTGCCTGTCCGCCTGTTATCCGTCCGTATATTTTTGTGTTCAACAAACGGTGTGCTCTAACCGAAAGACAATCTTTTTTGAAAATGGATTGGTTCGGTCCACTTTTTCCACCATCCTCCTGCAACGCCTTATTTTGCAAGTTCGTTACCTGGAAAAAAACCTTAAATTTCAAAATTTTTCGACAAAACTTGCTGAGTAGTAGTGCTTTGACATTCTAAATTGACATGAACATTTAATTCGGGTGATCTATTTTTCAATATTTCATGAAGAAAATTGGTTTATAACAGTAAATTTGTCGAATTGGACCATGTAGATATATTTTTTGTAGTTCACTGTATATTAGAATCCTCAGGGAATGTAAATTCTTATATGCCAAAGAGGCCTAATTGTTAATGTTTTATGATGGAAACCTGATCATGATGGTAGTTTAATATGAAAATTAAGCGAACCAAATTCGAACCACATGGATCTGCATGCATTTCTTGGCCCCTACTCTATATAAGATTTCTCTGAAAAAAAGATTAATTTTTAATATTTTACGATGAGAATTGGCCCATGCTAGCAATTTGACAAATAAATTAACGGTGGGAAATTTGAAGCAGATAGGCCACATACATACGCGGTATCATGAAAAGCAAGTCCATTTATGGAGAGAAAGGTGGATGTCTAGTTTTTTAAGACGAAAAGGGAAAAAATAATAAAATATTTACGAAGTAGATCAAATTTGGTAAATTTGGAATACGTCATGCGATGTTGTGTACAGTCTCCAATATGCTGCCTGCGATGTACTATTACCAAAACGAGTGAACAATTGCACTGGGCGGAATGGTGTAGGGCATCGTATAATCGGCCTTGTCGGACTATGATACTTTTACTGGACTTTTCATATATATACAGATATATTTATGTAGTAGTGCATGCGCACTTGAAAACGCAGCACACAGTTATACATTTTTTGCCAGCAAGCAGTCAAAAGGCTGCGTATGTAACGCCGTTACTTCTGTTGCATTAATAGAAACATGAAAAGTTCTCCACATCCATACTGTCTTCAATTTTAAAAATGATCTTGGATATTTTTTTTTTAATTAGTTCTCCCTGCTCTTTAACTCTTTGAGGATAGCCTCAAATAATTTGTACAACGTGCCACATAAATATCGACGAATAGCTCCGTCCTTGCTTATATCGCCAATACATACAAAGAAAATATTGATAATGATTGCAAATATTTACGTATGTTACCGACTTCGTAGTCAACATACACCGAAGAAACTAATGATACAAGATACAATATACAGGGGGCAAAATATGAATACTCTCGCTAGTCTTTAAACAAAGTGTTATTTATCAATAATATTTACGCAGCGATATGTCGTCGTGTATGCTCAGTTCTTAGCTTACAAACTTGTTTTTATAATGCTTTTTGAGTTATAGTCATAGATTTGAACTCTTGTAATGTAAGGCACATTCGGTTAGATATAATTTACCGGATCACACACAAAATTTTTCTTGATTGTAGGGTAAGCTAAGCACGGCGGTATGTTATATCCTTAGCCTGCTTGATTGTGGTAAGTCTATGATGAGCAGGTTTTAATATGTAAGTGAAGAGACTATATTTCCTTCCCCTGCTATCTATGCATTTCACTGATCGATTAAAACGCTTAACGGATGAAAATCAATTCAAGGGAAACAAATACAATTTATTGTATACATTTATGAATATACGTATTTAGTTTCTTTTTAATTTGTATAGCTGTGTATGTTGTTTATTTCTAGATTGATATATAATAATTCATTTATACTAATACTCATCATCATTCACATACAATGACTATAGTGTTTGTTTTCATTTATTTCGGAGAATAGCTTATGAGACTGATATAATATGACGTGAGTGAGTGCAAAGCAGTTAAGGAAGCAAAAAACACTTTCTTTCACAATTCTATTTACCGCTTATCGTGATGAGCGTGAGAGATGCTTCTTTGTTTTTGTTATATATAATCTCAATAGATTGATTTTTAAACTTTCTTTGAGTAAACTTTCAAGTAAAAAAGAGGACATAAGTCCGACTTTTTTAAATATTGCAAATATGTGCGTATGGTAGGTATGTATATATGTATGTATGTGTACAATGGTATAAGCCCTTCTTACTCATCGCTTAAACATAACTAAAATTATTTAGTATTGTTAGTATTGCATTTGTGAAAGAGAAAAAGCAAACAAAAAATAAAAAAAAAAATTTAAAAAAAAAAAAAAAAAATTAAAAATTAACAAAAAAAAAAAAAAAAACTAATAAATAAAATAGAGAAATAAATAAATTAACAAGTAGAAATATTATGACGGGTCACCGTCCACCACCATTAAATACTCTACACCGTCCTCCAGTCATTCATACAGCGACTTTTCAAATAAGGTTTTATATGGGAAGTAGTCGAAAAAGTGAATCGATCGGTATAATGAAAGATGCGTCCGTCTCAATCTCTTCTGAGTGTTGGACAAATCCGCAAAAACTTAACATACCCTTACACCTTAAATGGCGAAGAGTAGAGAAATGGTTTAATCGCTTTGAGCGAAGCTTGACCAAAGACCACTAAACGTTTTAGCGAAAATTCCTCATAGATATTATGAAAATGTATTGAATAGTACTTGTTTTAGACATTCTAGCCATTGAAGTACTTAGATTTTCAAACTCATGATGCTCATGATGATTCAAGAACACGCCCACCAGGCTGCAAGACTTCAAAGATTCGCATTGTAAGCAAAAAAAGCACAAAAGGACGGATAGATAATATATCTTCTTTTTCCCTAGTGGATATTGCGAAAGTCACGTAAGAATTTCTCATTTTTTTAAGATCACTAAGCATGAATACCAAATGTGAGAATTGAGAAAAAAAAATTTTAGGGGAGTAGGAAAACACAAATTGAGAACACTTTTGCTTCTTTCTTACTCTAAATTTAAAAAAGAAAACAAAAAATTTTAAGGAAAAAAATATTTTTTGTTTTTTTTTTTTAACCTTAATAAATAAACGAAATGCTTAACGGATATATTTGTCTGTTTTCAATTTAAATAAAAATCTTTTTTTTTCTATATTGTGAGCCTAGTAAACACAACAGGAATTAAAAAAAAGAATTTATTCATATGGTTTCCTTACTACACATCTAGAAAATCATTTTGGGATTTTTAGGGTACAATATATTTATACACACCCATCCGTAATATACACCAATTATATATCTTGCTTTCTCTATATACGTTATGATAAATTGTAAAAACAACATTAAATCTTAACGAATAAAAAAAAAAAAATAATAAAAACAAAAATAATAATAAAAATATAATAATAATGTGTCTGCGTAAATAATTACAATTACTATAATAATAATAATAATAATAATAATAATAATAATAAATGGCTGCTGTTTCAAACGAAAAAATAAAGCTCAAGATATTGAATAAAATAATTACAACAATAACTTTAGTAAGCATTTACAGGTATTGTATATAAGTATATATATATAATTATATATATATATATATATATATATATATATATATATATATATAAATATATACATATTTACATATATAAAAAGACAGTCTTCATTTCATGTAAATATGAGCGTAAGTTTGTTTTTGATTGTTCACAATTTCCTTTTATTTTAACAGAGCGCGTTAGTTTCACCGTTATTTATCTTTAATTATGTAGACGTAGATTAAAAGTAAAGGTTAGATAGAGTTAAAAAACAAATAAATTAAACTATAAATAAATTTTGTGCATATTTTAAAGAAATATGTAAGTAAGTAAGTGTTCCTGAAATTTGGAACTATTTGTTTTGTTTTGTTATTGGTTCAAGTATTCAAAAAGAAGAGCTGCTTTTAATTGCTTTACTGTTTTTTCTTTCTTCTAACGCTTTGTTCTTTTTTTTTTTTTTTTTTTTTTTGTTTTTTTTTTCTTTTTTTAATTCATGCTTTGTAGTTCATCATCATCACAAATCATTTATAGTTGATTTCATCTGCGATACACATTTGAAACGCTTTGACCATTAACCAATGTTGTCTTCGTTCATCCTTCGTTGTGTTAATAAATTCTCTAAAATTTTATCAATTTTTTTTTAATGTTTTTTTGTTGGTTTCATTTAAAATATTAAAATTTTGATGGTGGGTTAGCTTTATGCTTATTGCAATTTTTTTTTTTTTTTGTTTTTTTTTTTCCTTTTTTTTATTTTGACCTTTTTTTAGTTGGGTACTACTGTACGTTTACCGCGAGGTTTGATGGCTTCGGAGATTTCCCACATTTGCTCTTCGCCGAGAAAATTTTCAAAATTCTCGAAGAATCTTATAATACGTTCGTTGCGTCGAAACGGATAAGAACTGCAAAATACAGTGGAAGATTAATGAGAAGTTTAAGAAAAAAAAAAAAAAATTTGAAAAACAAAATTTTACCATTTTTTAAAACGTTTCATATTATCAATAATATTATATTGTTGCCATCGTTTAGAGAAGTTTATGACGCCATCCTTTAAATAATCTGGATTCCCGACATGAACGAAGGTAAGATCTTGCAAAACCAAACCACTAAGAAGACAATTAAAATTATTTGTTACTAAAAAAGTTTACTTCATCAGCGGGGAAAAAATTTGCTTTGCTATGAGAAAGTAATAATGAGCGGGGTGCTCTGCAACCGGAAAAATGCTTCTGGGCTTTATTCCATAGGGGTAAGGAAATTAAATGTAGAAAAACATATCTTTCATGTCTATTCATCTCTTGACTTTGACTTGATTTTTCCACATGTGAAGGTCTACCAATCAATTACACTTGCAAAGCTTAGTTTTTTTTTTTACCGAATTCAAGTGAGGTAACGACCACTTTATGATAAAATACATGCATATGTATGTGAATGAGAAACAAAGAGAATAATACAGAGAATATTATCGTTGCACTCATGATGATCGAACTTATGGGCGGGCCAGTTATTGCCATCTCTCATACACAGTTCGAACAAGAGGGCAAAGCAATCAAGTTATTGAAAACTGAGTCTAATAAGGTCGATCATGTAGAGAATATACAATGTCCTGCAAGCTATAGCAAAATTTGGTCAGAAATAAATTAAAAAATAAATCAACTTTGTATCCTAATGCACATTTAGAAGCAAGTAAAAAATGATATTCGTCCGCGACCGAATCCTTTATACCCTTCGCATCCGCGGTATTTAATCTAAAATTAATGCAATTAACTTGTCGCATTCTACTCCCTAAGTCCTTTTATTTGGTACCCAATTAGTTACACTGCTAGGCAAGAACGAATCCTTTACATTGTGTATGTATCCATTATATTTATTTTTGAGCTAACGCATTTTTCTCTCAGTTTATGTTGTACTATGGTCGTGCCCTTTGACCTTTTTCTCCCATTCTCAATGCCAACTTGCGTCTAATGTGTCTGCTGACTCCTTCATTTTTCCGACGGGAAGAATATTTACTACACACATTACATGGACAGACAGGCGGATGTGTTTGACTCAATTTAGAATTTGATGCTGATTAAGAACTCTACGAGGTCTCTGATGCTTCCTCCTGGGGCATTGCAAACGTTTTGACGAAATATATATACACCTCATTCTTCGGTGATGGGGGGCATAAAAATCTTGTTATTTGCCGTATACACTGTACACAAATAAGGATCAGATATCCAAATTGGCCTTCAATTCTTAGTTTATTCAATGACGCTTATCTGGCGGTCGATGCATATTCCATTGCGGTTGAAAAGATTGAGATCTTCTTTCTCTTCTTCTTTTCTTTTTAGTTCAGATGCATAGAATAAAACTGAAAATCATTTTCGCGGAGTCGGAAACAATCGAAAACCCAGAATTGAGAATTGTAAAATACTATTGTAGATAACTTTTTGTTTATGACTTTCCTTAGAAGAAACAGTGCTATTCGAGCTATTCAGCTGAAAAGCTAGGATTAACTGCTGTTTCCTTTCACTTGTTTAATCCAATGGCAATTGGCATTGTTGCTTGTTCTGATTTATTTGTAAGCTATTCTTATGAAAATGCAAGGAGCAGACATAGACATAGACATTTAATTTTAATTGCTTTGCCCTAAATTGTTTCATCAACTTGCACGCAGCTTCCATAAGTAGTATTCAGTAGAGTATGGTTAACGTTACGCGTTGTTTTAAACTTAAAAGAGTAATGGCTTTCAATTGGAAGTTAGTATAGCAAGGATAACAAGTAGAATTTTTTTTTTTGTTTTATATATATATTATTACTTACATGTAAGGTATACATGGAGGCTGAGTTTCAGCTAAAGCTTGACGATAAGCTCTAAAGCTGGAGCTGGAATCGATTAATGTACAATATTCTTTTAAGCCATCCGTAATAGTCTTATGCCATTCTAATCTATATAGAAGATAATGGATGAAATTGGATAAAAGAATTGTTGTCGTGTTATTGAAATTTTTTTTGAAATATTAATTCGACTTTATCACCTTCTTATCGGTGCCGAATCCAATGCCGATAATAATGCCAAATAGGAATTATAATTATTCATTTTACGCAAATGTTTCATTATTTTAATAAATTTGATGACATGCTTTTCACGTTCTTTGGCACAAGTTAAAGTAAGTATTTTGGAACGGGCCCAATATGACATTTTATTAAAGTGTTCAGTAAATTTATTTAAATTGGGGGATTTCTCTTCACATTGTTCCTTAGCGAATAGTAAGACTTCGGGAATTTCAATTTTTTGAAATAGTTCAGCATCCAATAAAGTCATCTGTTCAGCAATTTCAAGAGATTTCAGATCTAAAAGACTAGGCTGATTAGTAACTGTAAAAAACATATCGTTGTTGGGAAATAGCGGTAAACGTAACTCCTTATAGAGTGTAACCTAAAAATTTTAAAAAGAAAAATTTTTGAATTAAATAAGGAAAGTTTGCAAGATTGCGCCGCTGCGCACCTTTTCCACAATCTTATTACGCAATAATTTGGCTAAATATAATTGGCCGGCACAGACTAATTGATAAACAAATTCCACAAGTAGTGTTAGCAAAGGACCAGTTAAATCAGTGGACCTAATGCGAAAACAGCATTACATACACATATAAATTATTGGCAATCAAAACTTACGTTAAATCATTAACTACGCGAACCAATAAAGAAAATGTTTCTTTGGCTGCTTTCTGTTTTTGATCATTGTGCTGACAAAAAAATACGGTATATCTGTGTGTAAGTTTTTCAATAACATCAACAGGTGGTATAAAGGTACGAAATGTCGTTATAAAAGCTTCACTAAATGCTTTTGAATTAAAGAAAACAAAGGAGAAATTACAAAAATAAAAAAAAAAAAAGTTTTGTTGTTTTTCGAAAAAAAAAAAAATAGATCGAAAAGTTTTACCATTATCAGTAACCTTTTGCACACGGCTCGCGTGCACAATAAGAGCATCTATGTAGCCTCCCTTAATTTCGGGGCCATCTTCGGTCTCTTTCTTAAAGATTAAATACGGTGTAATATCTACCTCCTCGATGATATTGGGTAAATGATTGATTTCCTCGGCAGCTAAAGGACTCTATGAATAAAATTTAAGAAAAAGAAAAAGAGAAAGAGAAAGAGAAAAAAGTCAATTTCTAATATAAAATTTTTATCATATCGAGAAATTACTTTTCTTATTTCATCGAAGCGATTGTTGTTATTGTAGGTGACCATCTCTTCTACTTCATTACCGAAGTCTCCATTCGAAGTGCTTGTTGCGTTCTCAAATATTGATGATAAGATTGTTTGTGATGTATTATTTTCACCCTGATGCATGGACGTTTCATAATCATTTCCTAGTTCGTTTGAGTGCACAACAAGACCCGCCTCGTCTTCACACTGATCTGTTAATTCTTCACAGACAGTCGACATTATTTCGTTGCCGGCTTGACAGCTTAAAATTCGCATATGGTCGGCAATTTTCGGTTTAGGACTGGGTGGTGGTGTTGTTATAATCGTAGGCGTGGTCACTATTGTATTTGTCTTCCATTGTTTATAGTTTTTCGGTGGCAAAGCAGGTGGTGTTTCCATTTCGGGCGTTAAAAACTCTTCTTTGGCTAGAGGAACAATACTGTAAAAGGAAAAGGGAAAGGAAAAGGAGAGAAAAATCTAAAAACTTTTACATAAATATTTCATAAATGCTACATACTTCATTGTTTGACTGTGTGTGATATTGCGATTTAAGTTATAAGCATGCATAGTATGTCTATGTTGTTCAACCGATCGTGTTGAGGCTGAGCAAATTTCCATATAAGCCAAAACTATGAAGAAGAAATTAAAAATTTATAAAAAATTTTTTTTTTTTTTTTTTTTGCAAAATTTGGACAATTCCGATGATTTTCAATTATATCAATATCAATATCACTAGCCTATAATAATGCTCTATACTATTACTTTCGTTTCTCCAAACTTACCCGAAAATGCCACACTTTGAAACACTAGATTATTAAAATGAATAATTTACACAAAATGAAAAAAAATTATACTCAGTTAAGCTTATATTAAACAATTAAATTAATTGATGTGTTTTCGCGAATGTTTTCGTGAGGCATTTGTTTGCTATTTGCGATGAGTTTGCTTTGCTAATCTAAGATCTAAATTAGAAAAAGTTTTTGATACAGTTGCCACTATTAAAACGATGATGATGAGCTTTCCGTTAACAACTACAATCACAACAACAACAACAACAACAACAACAACAACAACCACAACAACAACAACAACACGATAGATTTGAAAATTGAGTAAAAATTGAAATTACTACGATATGCTTAAGGATTAAATGATAAGCTTTACTCTCTAAGCTTTAGTTTCCTCACGTTTTCCGAAAGTTAACTGTACTTATATATTTGCTCGTTTACTATAGCCTATTAGCTGACATTGAATAAATTATGTAAAAAAATAAAAAAACCAAATAAATACGGTCATTTCTATTATAAATCGCTTATATAAGTTTTCAAAAGGTTGCTTGCTACTAACAAGTGAAAGTTACATATTCCGCATTTAGCATTAAGCCATTGAAGTGACACACTTAAGTCTAAGCTTGAAACTTACTAAACATTATTTAGCAAACATTTATTTCAAGCGTACGCAACGCAAAAAGGTCTACATTCAGTCTTACTCAATACTCAAAATTGAGTATGGACGGCACCATTAACTTTCATTCATTTTTAAAGGGGGGCGCTGGTGAACTAAATTTTGGTAAAAGTCCAAATTATGTCACTCTTGTCGCATAGAGTGTATTAGGTTTGCGTGAATGTATGTAACAATCAGAAGATGAACTTACTTTATTGATCATTAATCGATCTAGAAAAATTTGCTGAGCCAATTTATACAAGTCGATCCGTCCGATAACTGTCTATGTATTTTTGAGTTCAACATGCAGATCGCAATTATCCAGATATTTCGGTAAAAGGGCAAATGCTATTAAAAATAAGTTAAATTGAATCACTTCTACGATCGCTCCCTATATAACGATTCGTTTCAAAGAAAAGTCGGCATAGGAAAAATGCTTGCACCCATCATCGAGCGATGCAGCACCTAGAAGGAAGCTCCAGAGATTCGACAAAGTGCATGTGTTCTGGATTAATATCAAATTCTGAATCGATCCAAGCATGCTCCCCTGTCCGCGTGTCCGTCTTTGCAAAATCTTTGGTAAATATTTTTCCGGTCTCTTGGTCGCAAAAATGAAAAAATCGGCTTGAGCTTGTCAAACCTCTTATACTATTGTACTAAAATTGAATTACATTACACCACCCTACGACTTTTCAGAACAATATTTCAAACATTTCAACATTTTCAACAGGGGTCGTCTTTGGGGCAAATTTCATTAAAATATAGTTCAAAAATTGCGCCCTATAAGTTGAACATAAAGACTAGACGGACAGACAAGCTTCGATCGATTCAGAAAATGACTCTGAATGGATCCGTATAATGGAACATGGATCTATGTGAAGTACTTCTGAATGTTGCATGCGTTCGCGTAATCTTAATATGTAGCCTATGTATCACAACTAGTGTAGAGCATAAAAATTTATCTCGCAATGTATCGCTATAGTACTGAAAACATAATGTGGTAAGTAGAAGTAAGTAAGCTGTACATTCTCACACAAACGCGCTACTATCACAAAGTAAATCAAATCGTAACGTAAAGCCGCAGAAGAATCAGTAACGTCGTTAAAAAACACATAGAGTAAATATATAAGAGTTGACAGCTAAAGGTGATAACAGAAGTTTGAAGGACCACACAGTGGAATACAGTTTGATGTTTTGAGTGCAGCGTTGACAGTACCTTGATGTACAAATCGATTTCGCTAAACTTAAGAAAACCTGATTCCGCTACGAAAAATTCCAGATTTGTCATATAAAAAAAAATCTTTTCAAGTTACTTGACATTTTCTTATCTCTATTAGGGATTTATGAATCACAGGTCCTAAAAGCGTCATACGGTTGGTATGCCGCATTCATGAAATAAATTTTAAAGAGGAATATAGTACTGTTGAGCTTCGTCAAGACTTTTAACTCAGTAGGACACGACAATCGGCAAAATTTCTCTCCTTATGTAAAGAATTGAGGGAGGAAACACATCGTGTGCAACGAATGCAAACGAGTTAAAAACTTTTTCTTAATCTTCGTATTTGTGCAAAATTTCAGAAATTATTATCTATCCTAGGACCCAAAATAGGATTAAGCACTATTAACTAAGCCTATCACTTCTTCTTTTCTCTTTCTTTTAAAAGGTAAATAGTTAATCCAGTTGCTTTAATAAAATTAAATATTTTATTGATATTAAGTTCTGCAGATACTTTCAAAAAGTTAATAAGAGAGATATGAATCTTCTTCAAATATTACATACTGGGGTAGTAGATGTCTTCAATGTCCATTCTTGTATCGCAATACTATGACCGAAGCGAATTCTTTATTAAAGATATTGTGTCTTTAACACTAGATTACCCGGGGCGAGTGAATTTTCGAATCATGGGAGACCTGGTGCGATTGATTTTTAATAACATTGTGAAATTGTGAAATGTATACAAATACTAATTCCTTCCATTCCCCACCCCAAAATTCCAAATTATGTGTTATGCGTATTTATGCAGATGTGAATCAACGCACATGCAATCTGGCTTATTGCAAACCTGGCGCAGACATACCAGTCAATGCATAATTGCTGTCAACTAAAGCCAGGCGCGTATGTAATGAATGCATGCCGAATAATTTAGATAAATTTCGCATCGAATTCTGGTTAGTCGGATACGAATAAAAAGCCAGCAAATCAAATATTGCCTTGAGAGTGTTTGGGCCATATTTAAGTTTAAGTGGACGAAATATTACCATAGACGATTGTCTCTTTGCAAGCCTTCCATTTGCCAAAAGCATCTTTAGTTGAAACAATATTGCAAAAGCCAAGAAGGACGACATGATAGGGTTTTCCAAACAACTTTATAAAACGAACGACTGTACTCTTATTATTTATAAAAGTAGTGCTATTATTGACCTCGAGGCACCAACATATATGATATGGCATGATAATATAGTACGGAAGCAATTTGTCGCAGACGACCTTCTCTGGTTTATGTCTTAGATTTATCAGCGATCAAAGCTTGAGATCTATAGAAAAAGTGTACTCAAATATAATTCTGAAGAAAAGAACCTATTTTGCAATTGATTGAAGAACTAAGCGGTAACTAACTATAACCATAAAGCCGAAGATAGTTTCAATATAGAATATTGAAAAACGGTTGAGTTGTCAAGTTCAAGTACCATGCAAAAGAAATAGAAGTGAGACTGTCTATGCTATGTATGTATGTATATATATATATATATATATGTAAAAACACTTCCCTTCCACATAAAACTTTAGTTTTCTCTCTTAAATTTTCAATTTTAATATTTAAGTCCACCGGAGTAGACAGCCGAGAAGGTAACGATCGTGACTACCAAGCCAGTACTCGTGGATTCAAATCTCAAGCGCGGATTGGGCACACTGACGCCAGTAGGCTATGGCCACCACCTCCCTGTCTGTTTCCTCATTTATTTCTGGTCACCGTGTTACACGAATAGGGCATACACCCTAAATGATTGTTCATATTAAGATATATAAAAAAAAAAAACGCAACTGTGACATGCCTAAATGGAATCCGAATTCGATACTGATGAGAAATATAAATACTTTTTGTAGAATTTCTAGTTTCGTTTTGGATGTTGCAAACAAACGACAATATAAATATAGTCCCAATTTTCGACGATGCGTATAATAAAATAATTAAAAAAAAAAAAAATTAAACTGTTAGCAATTACGAAACATTCATCATTTACCTCCCGTAAAGCAGTAAATTCGACCTAAAAAATAGCTAAGATATGTTAGTGATATTTGTTCAATTCCTCCTATATGTCCCGGTGGCCCGAAAGGTATGTTCACAGAAAGTGTAAATAAGACTATTTCCTATACTATATAAAATACGTTCTTCCTTTAAAGTAGGGGGTCGCCTATCCATTGCTTTGTATAGGCTCGTCAGTAGTGAATGTCGTTTTCAATTGTTGAACGTTTGCTACTGCATGTGAAACTAATTGGAAAATGTAAATGGATGATTTCACTAATAAGGGATCCAACTAATTTAGTATTTATTTCATTTATGATTCGTTTTTCATGTATAGGTTTGTGCGCGTAGGTAATAATAATTCGAGTCTCTATTATAATATATACTTACTGTGTTTTTTCTTCATGGGTAACGGTGGAGGTTGTTCATTTTGACCATCGGTGAGAGCATTACAACTGCCGGCCGGTAAATCCAAACATCGCCGTGGTTCAATAAGGCTTGTGTGTTTTGTTTGCCATTGATAAACACGATGCTGATGATGTTGTCTTAACTCAGGCAATTCTTGAACACTAAAATTTCATTGAACATATATAAGTGAAAATATTTTAATTGAATTTAATAATATTGCTTACCTTCCGTTTATATTATCGATGGCATCGAAATTGTCATACATTGATGGTTGCCGGTCTTTACTTAATTTCGAAGTTTTTGGTGGTAAAGCTGGCGGCATTAAATCTTCATCATGTTGAGCCAAGGTAACCGATCCGGTTGTTATATCCAAGCTATTCGTTTGCTTTAGAGTGCTCAGACTATTGTGAAACTGATCAATTAATAGTTTTTCAGCGTCTATATAGTGAGCGGGAGAAAACGTCAAGTGCTCTTCTACTTGCTGCTGCTGTATTTTCATTAATGAACTCTCAACAAAACTGCTGGTATTCGAAATGCAAACAGTTGATTTAGTAGAAGCAATCGTTTTTGCTTGTTGTTGTTGTTGTTGTTGTAAATATTCTTCATTAATGCTATTGTCTCCAGCAAGGATAGCAATCTCAGTTGAAGAATTAGAAGATTTTGTAGATGATTGAAAACTAAAATCTGAAGAACGTTTTGAATAGCTTTGTGATGAAGTACGAAAAGAATTAATGGATACAAAACCTAAAGAAAAAAAAAGGAAAAAAAAAACGAGAAAAAGAGAGAAATAAATTGTAATTAACACAAATGTAATCACTTTTCCTTCGTAGAGAAATTTTAATGCAGTTAACATGCAGGCAAATAGAGGGGAAAAGTGTATATAAAAAACTAATTTACAATCACACAGAAGTAATAGTAATAAAAAAAAAATAATAAAAAAAAAAAAAAAAATGCTAATATCATTCAAATAAACGTATTAAGCAACGACAAAAATAACATTTATTTTTGACAAATTAAGAGATAAAGATTAGTTAGTACCCGACTCATTTGAATGACGATGATTTGCTGTTTTACGTAATTCCGCTTTATCTCTGTTTATCTCTATATTAACGACATCTTCGTCAGCGACATCAAGTGAAGCTCTTGTAGTTAAAGCCACATCCACATAAGTACCGATTGTTTTGTTCAGTTGCTCTTCCTGCAGCTGAATTTTTTGTTGTTGTTGCAATTTATTATCAGCGTCACCATCTGCTTCTGTTAGGTTCTCTAAATTTTGTTTTTTTTAGTTTAAATTAATTAAATTTTAAGTCTTTTGCTTAGTATCGAAAATTTCATTTTACGTAAAGTCAACGACAAAAACTTTTTCAAATCACGTTTTTTTTCTTCTCTCTGGAAAAATGTATAAATACTTACTGAACTCATCAGTTAACAGGTTGTAATCACGACTATGTAGGCGACATTCTTCATCTTCACGTGAATGATTCATGGCAGAGTCGAGAGAACATTGACTAGAGTTTTCATCTGGTGAACGGGAACGCACCGATAAACTATAAATGATCAATATCATCTTTATGTTCTTGATATCATCCTCTTCTAGAAAATAGGCTAACTTACTGATCCACACCTAAGGGATAATCGTTACTGTTATCTAAATCAGAGTTGAGGCTACCTTCATATGGCTGTGATAGTGGCTGACTATTTCTCTTTGGTGGCAAAGGTGGGGGATTAGAAGATCTGAATAATAATATTATATAAGAAATGAATTTGTTTTACGATTAATTTTAGAGGATTTTCACTGACCTGTGGGGTAATGGTGGTTTTGGTGGTGGGCTGGTATCGCGGAGTATACTTTCAGTGCTATAGGACACACGCATGGGATTGCTGGTAGTCTTCTCTAAACTGTCTCGCTCTCTAAAATTATAAATTAAATAATTATTTAAAATTATTTATAACATTTGATTCATTGTACGTTTCTAATTAAATTTTAAGCAAAAAACTATAGTCTTTCAAACTTTTGATAAAAAGTTTCCCTTTAATTTCTTTAAATTATTATCACTTACTTCGGGGTTAAAGTGATATCCGGCAAAGAAGTTCGTTGTCCAGCAATTTCAACGGGCGGACGTACCAAAAGATTTTGCGCCGTTAACACAGACACTATGGTATTAGTAGACATTTGCGTATCCATTGGAACATTGTCATACTGAAAAGCCATTTCTTCTTTTTCTTTTAGTTTTAGTTGAGCCAAAGTGGCCAAATTCTTAAAAAGTAAATTATTATCATTTCGTTTTATAGATAATGTATTGCAAATTCTTTGATTTACTCTGACAGCGTCTTCCAATAGATCGACAATTTCTTTAACATTCTCACTACTCAATGAGGCGCACTCCTCACTGTCTTCGCTTAACATAACCTCATCACAGAGCTTTATAAGTTTGCCTAACGATTGATAAACCTGTTGAGTGGCCGATAATAACGTAGCACTATTCTCGTTGAGCATATAGGATTGAATAACTGTAAAATGATGCGCTTAAGCGAATGCTTATTGTTCTATAATGTATGAATTATTTACCAGAAAACATGCTAGCAATTGTTTCCAATATTACCGTTCCATTGCCAGGCAAAACTTCAAGTTTTTTTTTGAGTATGACATCGCGAAAATATTTAAGCGCATTAGATATGTCTTTTACATGAGTTTCTAATGATTGCGATGATTTCGCTACTTCTTCAGCTGTGGGAGGTTGTTTGTTCTTATTACGCGGACTTTGAGGGGAATGCGATCTAACGGGAAGAGAAAGTAAATGGTTATTTAAATTATGTTATAAAATAAGTTGGTGGAAAGAAAAGCTTACCTCCCTAAAGTGTTGGTTGGTGTACGCATCAGGGAGATTTTTTCAAACAGATCGTCTTTAAAAGAGCGAGCTCGTTTGGCCAACTTAGTACCTCTTAGACTATTTTTGTGCCCCAAAACGGCTGCTGTGTATGAATTTGTGTTGTTCAATGGTGTACTGGTAGCCTGCTGTATTGGATTTGAGGTAATGGGCGTGCTTAGATTTGTTTGAGATGATAGGGAAGAGTTCGGTGTGGACGGAGAGCTGATGACGCTGTCTGCAAATATGATAAATATTTAAAGATACATTGCTTGCTTACCTAAAAAAGCTTTAACAATAGATTTATAAATAATACATGCGAAAGCGTACCGGGGAGAGAAACTTTAGCCCGGCAGTCCTTATGTGACTTCCTTTTGATTTACTGGATCTACTGGGTCAGTTTTTTTATTTTATATTTTATATATATATATATATCTATATATATATAAATATACATGTGTTTGCGTGTATATATATATGTGTGTGTGCATTTATTTGCGTATTTAATGCACTTTTAACCTGGTCAAGGAAGTAGTGGTACTAGTTAAATGGCACGCAGACAACTTGTAAATATGCTTTACGAATATGACTTTAGATGGTAAAAAATGATTTAAGAAAAAAAAAATTTACTTGGAAGAAATTTGTTGATCTACACACGTTCGCGTTTGACTTAGAAATTAATTATCTTGCGATGAATCAATGTACACATAGATACAATTGTATAGTACACATACACGTACACCTAATACATACAGACACTAGCTCTCACTCACTTAATTATTCCCTTCTCGTACACATACTATTCATTTCATTTCATTACAATTCTCCTGCTGCTGCTGCTGCTGCTCATATTGCCTTCTGTGTACTTTACCTTTTTGCATCATTTTTTCAGCCTCCTCCAGTTATGTCAGTTTTAAAATATATGTTCAAGTTTTTGTCTAAACAGTTCTTTCACTTATTTTTTTATTAATTGTAACATTTTTAATGCAGATTTTATTAATAATTTACTAAAGTTTCAAAAATTTCTAATACCTAGATTAAAAACTTGCACACAAGCAAAAGAGATTAACCAATAAAAAATACTCCTATTGAAACGGCGTTGCCAGGAGAAAAAAATGAACGATAATGAGAACGTAAACATATACATTAGAGATTTTTAAAGCACGGAAATTCAATTTTATAATTTGAAAAACGTAATATGAATTATTCTGTCATTCGATTTTAATGAATTTTTCCTCTAATCCTTTAACAAATGTATGTGAAATTAATTTTAATATATATTCCCAATATTATCAAATCCCATTTCCAATTTTCCTTTTCTCCTCCTTTTTGATTTTCCTATATTAGCAATTTTGTCCTCTACGATAAAACAACACTTCAGTAATTGGCAATAATGCAAAGATCAGAAAGTTTTCGTTCACCTCTTATTGCAAAACGTTGTCTCTCGAGCGATTGAATAATTTTTTTATGCACAGAAAAAGATATATGCAAACAAATTGTAAGGAAATGTCTTAAAATATGGTAAAAGATTGGATAGAATGCTTTTTAATTTCCACGAAAAGTTGGCGGAGTTTGTTAATTGCACGAGTGAACGGTAAACAAATTGTAGCAAGTGAACAAAAAGTTATCTTTGGAGAAAAAAAGGTGCTCTAAAAAACTTTTTTTAACCACCCTCATTTTCTCATCTTACCATAATGTTAAGCCTTCATATCGAAGTGAAAATAACTTTACATATAAATTGAATGAACAATAGCAGCTTAGGTGATTTAATGAAATAAAAATTTATTTTAAGTTAATAATTGTCTGTCAGAAGCAAACATGAACGTAACTCAGATGTTGAAAAATTGTATATAATATATGTAAATGGATATATAGACTTACATACATATAAATTATAAATGTATATTTATATATATATATATATATATAATCTATGATTAAGAAACGAGCTAAAATGATGCCAAAATTTCATCTGCATATATTTATCTATGCCTAAGTGGTGTATTGAAAAAGGTGAAGAAGGAGAAAAATCATTTCCCTCCTTCTATATTTACAGCATATACATATATATTCGCATAATAGGACAAATAGGCAAACGAATAAAAATAAGTGTGCGTGTGTGTGATGCGCAAATCAAAAAAAAATTTTTTTTTATGCTACAACGTGCAAAACTAATTACATACAAAAGATATCAACGGGTATTATGTTTTAAAGTTTTCCCTTCGTATTCAATGAAACATTTCCGTTTTTTTTACCTTACGATGCGGAAAAACGAAAAAGAAGAAAAAAAAAAAACAGGGGAAATTGCACGTCAAAACAAATTAAAAAAAAAAAAGGAAAATTGTTGAGATATGTATAAGGAAGTGAACGGATGACATGAATTTACGTGATATGCTTGTGCAATAAGTTTGTTATTTAAATTGTTATACATACATATAAACGTGGATATGGGCACAAATCAACATGGATATGTGCACACGAATGCATGCACACTGTATGTGTCGAAAAGCGAAGAGAACGAGAAAAAAATAAAAATAAAAAATAAAAAAAGAATACCGTGAAAGAAGAGAAAAAATACATTGATTTGCTTCTATATATGCATATGGAGCAATCACCCTGCCTGTTAGTTTGTTTTTAGGTGTCCTACAAAATAACAGGGATAAATGGCACACATTCTAACGTTAACAAGTACAGTACATGATGCATATATATATAAAGTATTTGTTTTATACCATCGATGTATGCAAAATAAATATTTGCATTAACATGTTCATGTTCATGTGCTCTGCTCTGCTCTGCTCCTTCTTAGCCCTTTTTACTCAGCACGTTATCTCGTCATTATTTTCTCCCCTCATTGTTGCACAATGTAATTTCCGTTATTGTTTTCAATCAAGTTCAATGTACAAACAAATACATTTTCTTTCATACTTGTAATGCATCGCATACATAAGCTTGCTGTAGCTTCATTTCATGCAGCTGTTTCTTCCAAATGTTTTGCTGCAATCTATGTTGCGGCATTCATATAGTAGACCGCCTAGCTATTAATGTTATTCAATCGTTTGTGTCATCAAGGGCATTCAATTAAAATCGATATTAAAAATAACGCTTTCTTATTCTCGCGTCACATTATTTTAACAAATGAAGCAATTATTGATTAATTTGTGCCTTGTTTTTTTATTTTTATTTTTTTTTTTATTTATTTTATGATCTGTGCTATAGATATGCCCATGCAGATGGATGTGTGTGTGTGTGTGTGTGTGTGTGTGTGTGTGGACGCTTTTGTGATTTTATGCTATTTTACGATATATACATAAGCATGATATTACTATATTAGTCTCTCTCGGCCTTACAATGACGTATTTGAGCGAAAGAAAAAATGTGATGAGTTTAGTAAAATTATTAAAGTAAAGCACAAAAAGAAGAAAATATCTACAAAGTTTTGTTTACAATACTAGACACATTGCTTAGACGCTTTATCTCTCTCTCTCTCTCTCTCTCTTTTTTTATCTATCTGTCTATCTAAGTATATATATATTTCTGCTTGTTTGTTTGCACATAAATAGAGAATATGTAAATTTTAAATAAATACAACAGAATAGAACAAACAAGAAAGCTGCATACGTCTTAAAGCGAATATTTTATACCCTTCATATAGGTCAAATATATTGCTCAGCTGAACCCAGTTTACTACATATGTCGTGTACTTATTTATATAATATAGCAACGGAAATAAATGAAAAAGTTTTTTTTTTTTTTTGCTCTTAGATGTGGACATAATGAAACCAGTTGAAAATTAAAAATTTTTTTCCGTGTTTAAACTTGTGCTCATATGTCCATATTGTTTGATATTGTTTGAGCATTTACTCAGACGATACATCTATCAGGTATTAAGATAAACATTTAGATATATGTATAAATGTTAGCCTAAATATTGCATCTTTCTCGTATTTATCTTATGAAATATTATGTGTTTAATGAACACACATACGCATATATAGAGAATAATGCTTCCTCGATTGTTTGAGAATAACGTTGTATGTATTTATGCAGGACTTCGTAACTGTTGCGAAAAACGTAGAAGACCGAACATATACTTGGAGATACCTTCGAATTTATGGATTTGCCATAAGATTTGTCGTAAAGGTTGTAGTACGTTTAAAATACATAGATGCTATCAAGAATATATATAGCTATTCCCGATTAATCTAAGAGGGATTGTTATGTTTCCATAGTGTGACCCTATGCTGCAAACATAGAACTAAAAGACAAAGGGAAAAAGGATGTGCGCTATCCATTTACAACGAGACAAAAATAACATAGAAAGTAAACGTTGACGCGAAATTCCCCGATTAACTTCAATACTTATGTTTGGGATGCGCTTGCAACTCGGGCTTCGACATAGAAACAGGTTGAGCGTAGAACTCAACTTGAACCAACTCAAAGGCGTAAAGTAATTGAAGAATTGAAGGGAGGTAACTAACAAACGAAGAATTCGTAAGGCTGTGGTAGATGTCGCTCGATCAAAAAAAGTCCCTAATCCTGAATGTCGGAGCACACCTCTTACTTGGTTTAAGTTTTACGATATGTGATTGAATATGAATAAGAAGAAGGCGACGATACACATACATCCAATATTTATATGACGATGCATGTAATATATATTTCAAATCGTACTTTTTATACAAAGTAGGCATAAGGAGGATGGACGGCATCTTTTGTTAATATTCCACCTTATGAGACAAAAAAATGTAATTTCAAAATTTTTTATAAATGGAGCTTTCATTCCGTACTAGAGGACAACAAAAAAGACTGACACGCCCAAATCGTTATTCTCAACTTACTTTAACGGATAGCATGGGTATTTTATGGAGTTTTCGATTCTTCTGTCCTGTAAACATAAAGCTCTTAAATGCCTATAATTTCTTTACTTGTTGCCTATATATATATATATATATATATATGTATGTCGAAGAAATCCACCTCAGCGTGAATACGGCTTTTTTTGTTCATTAGGCCCATAATTGTGCTATTGTCTTAAAAACACTTGGGAATACGAGTTTCATCCTGATCGCGGTTAACATCTTAAAATAAAAAGTTTGGTCTCAAATGTGCGAAGCGAAAATACTTATTACTAAAGCCGTAAGCGTGAAAATGTATGCTTTCGCGTTTCCGAGTGTTTGGCAAACAATTAAACGAAAATTTCTTTAATTTTCGTTAATTTTTAGAGCAAAGGAATCGAGAATTGCTGAAGAACACTTTCCTGTAAAATTCCATTTTAAGGATATTCTAAAAAATTCGAGGTAGGTTTGAAAAATCTTGTTTCGAGAAAAATTCGTTGAACACTAGATTGTTGGAGCGAGTTGTCAATCTTATTCATTGCTCGTGTACTTTGGAAAAAAAAAACTAAAATAATTTTTTTTTTTTAAAACATATCCCTTTTTATATTTATATATATAATTAAGCGGCAACTAACTAGGACCTTGAGGCCAAAGATAGTTGCGGAAAATGAATTTTGAAAACGGTATAGATATGGTAGAAACGGTCTTGAATAAAGTTTCAAGTCAAGTTGAGTCGTTTCAGGCAGAATAGGTGTACACCCGATATCCGGCAATCTCTAGGGTTCTACAGTTTTTTTTGCTATCTTTTTTTAGCATAAATAGCTTTTTATTTTTATTAATTTTTAGCATTACTTTGCTGTCCCAGTACTATAAAATCGCCCTTCGATTTTATATAAATGTATTTCCTTAGCTTTCTTTTATCGCGCGGTTTTTTGCTGGAATGTGCTTCTTTTGTTGCATCTGTCAAAGGTAATATCGCACATAGTGCGAAATAATTGAGAAAATATATTCATTGCGCATTTTCAATTTTCTGGCAGAAGCATTTGTTCTCTCAGCCCCATATTTATTCAAGAGTTGTTCCATCAATCCCGTTGCACTAACGTATTTTCGCTTGGAAATGCTTTTCACATAAGACATAAAAACTTTTTAAAGGTACTTATGTTACGGTCTTAAAGAAGTTCGACTTTGGACTGCACAGATGATGAAGTCTCCAAGACATAGCCTGTTAATGAAAACATACGAAAATTGTGAGAACTTCTAACGTATGCGACCGCAATCAAGTAAAGTTATATTTTAAAAATTGTGACAATTTTTCTCATTTGCGGTCATTAGGTTAAGCTTAGGTTAAGCTAATTGCAATTAAATCGGTTCATATCTTTTGCCAAGAATTGCCAAAAGCCTGATATTAGAAATGTACTTTTTACCGAATGCGTCTCTTTTGGTTGATGCCATTCGCCTGAGCCCGGACAAGTAGGCAAGAAACGCGGCTATCAAGTTATTCAAGTTTTCCCCTGAAGTTATGCATAATTACATCAAGTATTTATAAAGAGATGTACGTATATTGGATACGTAAGGGCGAATGTTGTCCATTTTCAAATACAACTTTCTGTATCCGACAGGCGAATAAGTGAACAGGGCAGCGGCCAGCAGGCAGAGGCACATGCGGGCAATCATGTGTCATACGCTAATCAAGAAAATATAATGATGAGCTAGGAAATAGCGATAGGATCAATTTGTCTGCATGAGTAGAGTGAATCACATTTACGAAATTATTGTTCGCCGGTACAGCTTTCTCTAATCGTAGCTACAGGCGTAACATTTAGCGATCGGGTACACCCCAGTGGTCATCAGCTCCCAGCATGACCGTATTATTCGCATAGAGAACATATCCTGGGGCATTGGTTATAAAAAAAAAAAAAAACAAACTGTAAGGTGTTGAATATTTGTTGTAGGGCGGTTGAATTTTCACGATCGGCACCAGCTCCCTCCCCCTCCCCACCTACCAAACGATTCATTACGCGTTACAATTCCCATTGATATCTATGCTTGGAAGAGAAAATCATATCTGTGTATACATATTTTTACATATATATATGTATATATATATATATATATTATTATTATTATTAATTTCGCCAGAGAAATACATTGTACGACTAAACTCTTTATTAAAAACTCTACCGTACTTGAGATTCGAACCCACGACCATTGAGTTGTCGTTGAGTGGAGATTCGTCGCCTTTGGCCACTCAGGCGAATATATATATATATATATATATAAAGGACTTGTAGCTGAAACTGCTGACTGCTAAAATGTGGAATTTGAAGTGTTTATGTTATGCATAAGTGATTATTAAACTATTCAATGAGAGATTAATGAAATAACTCGCGCAAATGAAGAGCCAAGTGTAGAACAATAAGCGAGAAACAAAACGAAAGACGATTTAAAGAAAGGAAAATAGTTTTGTTTTTCTTTTCGTCTACACATGTTTGCGAAATTGCTAAGAACAAGTAATAATTTTTTTTCATTTGTTTCGATGTCGATGATATTGTGCGATATTTTTAGATAATGGTGTTTTGCTAAAAAAATTTCTCAATTTTAACAAGAACTTTTATCATCACCTGACTTGCACATACACACATATATATATATATATATATATATATACTTATTAATATTTTTGGTTTGCCTCTTTATTTTATTAATTAAAGTTTAACTTTAAGTTTTAAATATCAGCAACAAAAATAACCCGCGTGCCAATTATTATTGTTCGTTCGGTTCTTGGATAAGAAGGAGAACACTTGCACTTGTTTGCGAGTTTGATAACGGAAAATAAGTATATACAAGAGTAGTGTGTGAAAATAAAAACAAGAAATCAAAAAAAAAAAAAAAAAAATAGTTAATAAAACAAAATCTTCTCCAGTTGTGGATTAATAATAATAACAACAACAACAACAACAAGAACCACAAACATCCAATCAACATTAAATTCTTTTTCTAATCAGATTGAAAGCGCACATATAAAAAAATAAGGAAGGAAACATGCCAGTCAAGAAACAAGGTAATAACAGTTTTCCTAATTTTTTTTCAACCTCGCCCCACGCCCCTCTTCTTATTTATTTATTCTTATATGCATTATGTTATGTCGTTGTTATTATTGCTGCTGCTGCGGCTGCGGCTGCGGCTGCTGCTGTTTTATTAGTATTTGGCCTGATGCCAAATTCATGTCTAGATCACAGTTTTTCATATAGTGGTTAAGTATTTTGCTTTTTTGTTTTATCTTCTGGTCTCACGTTTTCGGTTATTTGTAGGGAATGAGTGCGCAAGAAAAGAAAATGAATTTCCAACATTTAGGAAACAATTACATATTCATATAAATCTGAACTCGCGGTTAAAAGCCATCTATCCATCCGCCAGTCTCCAGTTATGAGCGGAATGCTTGAATTAATTTTCATCGCTTTTCTTATTTGAAAAAGAATCTTTAGTTCGTTCATAAACAATACGAAAACATTTTTCGTTTTCTTATTCAACATATCATCTATGGCAAGCATAACTCTTAATGGATTCTTCTTCGGGCTTCACCTCAGGTCGAATTCAGTCCCTTTCCCAATCGCAATGAAATTTTTCTTTCTTTCTCGCGGATAATTATTATCGGATTAACCGCATTAACTATGTCGACCTGCAATCTAAAGCTGAAGCCTATCGCTTGCTTGCCTTTGCGGCAGTACGGATGCATATCGCCTCAGCGCCGTGTAGTTTCATGTACACGATCTCAAATCTTTAATGTCCTTTGGGGACAGCACTTGACATACACAGAAGGAGAGTATCTTTCACTTTCTCTGCCTGCTTGCTTTACTTAATCTAAATACGTTTGACATCACTCGTCACTCTTCTTGTTTCTTCCAATTATTCATCTTGTGCCCTTTTCCGTGTGCTTTATTTGCTCTTTGTCCTCGGCTCGAGAACAATTATTTCTGAAACACATAACTACATGTTAGTTCGGTTGGGTTTTGCTTTTTTCCAACAAATTCTTCTTCTCCTTCTTCCTCTTCTGCGAGTCAGGAAATGAACAAGAGATGCAAACCACTTAGTAGTTTATTTAGATTGAAAGAATAAACTTTAGGCCTAGAACTAGGATGAGCACTTGCAACTAATACTATATATTAGTTCCTCTTCTTTATAGTGTGCTTACAATAATATCAGATATTATTTTTGTAAGAATGTAAGAATGCTGCAAGGCCAGCTGCAAGGCCGACTTAAAGTTTTTATCGATTTCCAGTTACTCTCCCATCATTAATAACTTTGACGCCATAGCAGGGTATGCTTCCCCTGCTGAGAGCCCCTATATATGGTGTGATCTAAAAAATAGATTTGTGTGATCTAAATTGACTAAAAAAATAGATTTTTGACATATAAAACGTTATTTTGCATTAAAAATCTTATACGTGTTAGGATCTCAAACATAGGCTTATGTGGTCCAAATTCGTTAAGATAAAATTTTTGCCTCAATTTATTAATATAAATATTAAAAATTAGGCATTTTTACCATACCAAGCTTGAAAGGGATTCAAAAAATTGCCTCTTTCCGATCCAAAGGTTTTCACAACTAACCAGCATGCTATTACTATGTGATTTTTGTGGCGAAATTTCAAAAAATTGCAATATTTTTTCTTATAAAGATTGTTCAAAATAATGTTTTGTATGGGGAGGGGCGGAAGAAGTTGACCGATCTGCGTCATTTTCAATAGCGTTCGTCGTTGGGTCGAAGCATAGCATTATATCAAATTTCATCAAAATATCGCGAAAGTTGTGCCCTATTACACATGGACAGGCACCAGGCGGGCAGACAGTCTTAAATCAGAATAGTTTGCTGAATCGAGCGATATAATAAAAAGGTGGGGGCCAAGTTCTTCTGGGCATTAATCTGGTCTGCACAAACTTAATATACACTATACCACAACGGTACGGTGTACGGTATAAAACTCAAGCAACAATACGAGAAAGACTTGTTCCTGCTTTCAATAAATCGCAGAATTGAGCGACATAGTCAAAATTGAACGCGTCTAGTTGATGAAAGGTCTATTGTGGATAACTTACGCCATTATCCAGAGATCATTGCATTTTTAAGAGGTGACCAATTGTTTCCATATGAATTTTAGTCTTTTTTTTTTTTTCTCAATAAAATATTTTCTTAGTTTACCTTCGCTGGAATCATTTTCTATTTTTATTAACTCGCAGTTTATTTCCCAAATTGGTCTTGTTACATTTGAAGAGAATCCACGCAATCCACGTAATCGACTTTTTCTTTCAAGATTTTTCTTTCTTTCTCTTATCAGAATCAATTCTATTGATTTCTTCATCGTAAAGACTTGTTGACAGGAGCTTCTTCTTGTTTACATTTTCCCAAAATTCATCTAATTCTTATTGGCGATAATCTTGTTTCTCGCAAAGACCACATTCTTTTATTATGATATGGGAATCAATCGTAATCTTATTGGTTGGACTTGAGTTTGCATTCTTACACTAATTCTTTACACTAAGCTAGATAGCTAAGTGTCTTCGAAAATATGACCATACCGTGCCGTACTTGTCTTACTATCGATTTTTATTTTCGTCTTTATTAATTTTCTTTGCTCTTTTAAAAGAAATCAAAGAAAACGCGCTTTAAGTTCAGTTTAAGACGAGCGCTTGTGGCGTACAGTTGTCAATGCTGTAAGAAATTAAAATTTAGATATGGCAGGATATTTGCGCAGAGCCTTAAACGAATCTAAGGATACAAGCATAGATATCAGTTCAATTAACGGTATCGATAATATAAAAGCTAACGGCGATCTAGTTTTGAATATAGATCCCAGTGATAATGATGACGACAACGACAACGACAACGAGATAATAGACGTCGTCGTTGACGATGACGACAATGAAAATGATAATGATGATAATATTTGTGTCACTGAATCTTTGTTAAATAAAAAAGAATCCATAGAAAATACCATAACTAAGGAAATCAATAATTCTCAAAATCATTTAACACAACAAAAACGTAATGACATAAAAATTAGTTGCTCCGATTTAACAAGTGAACTGAGTTCGTATGAGACGCCTTTACTAATGATGACGGATGACGGCATCCATATGAAACAACTTCAAGTTGAGCGGTATGATAAAAGTCCTCGTCGCACTCCAAAGGTCGATGCTGAATTCTTTTATTCAGTCAATGATTTATTAGATTACGATAATAGACGTCGTCATCATATACACACGCCTGATGTTGAATCAGGTTATTTTGAAAAATCCGAAGAAGAATTTGAAAACTCTCCTCCCAAATGCGATCCCATACTTTCGGATGATTTAGGTTATGAATTGAATCGTTTCGAGCTATTAATTGATTCCATAAATCAACACAGTTCGAAATCAAGAAATCGCACGGAACGTGGTTACTGGTCGACAATTTTCGGCCAGGCTAGTGAGAATGAATTATATGATGATATGAATGAGGAGAAAAGTATATATATGATAAAAATTATAAATCGTTCAAATCGCTTAAATAAAATTTTTCTTTCTCCTGCTTTTTTAAATCGCAGAAGCGCATCGTGCCCTTGAACTATTGGAGGATTATCACTCAAGACTATCGGAACCTCAAGATCGTGCTTTAAGGATAGCGATTGAACGTGTAATACGAATTTTCAAATCTCGTTTATTTCAAGCACTTTTAGGTAAGTACTTATCATAAAATTAATACAACAAATGATATCTAATGCACATGACCCCGTCTCGATTAATTCTATTAAACTAGAAAAATTATATGAACATTCTTGCTCTTCTTCTTCTTCTGCTGTTGCTGCTAGTCAGATTAATCAAGAGCAGATGATTTACTGTGTTGACTGAAACGTAGTTCTTCGTTCGAACCTTAATAAAGTTACGTGTTGAAAAACTAGTGGGTATTGAGTCTACATAGTTGGGTAAAATATGAATTCTTTATTTTATTGTTTCGTCCGTAATGCTGAGAACTGCGGATCCAGTTGTCCATGTCCATCTGTTGTATGTTTTAAGATTTTCTAAAAAAGTCTAAATTCTGTGCATATATTAAAGCGTAAATAAATCCCGCAGCTTAATTTCAAAATAAAGGTGAATTAGTTGAAAAACTGAGGAGTGCTACAAAAAAAAAAAAAATACGATAAATTAGGTGCAACACAGGTTTCTGTTATGTCCCTAATTAGCATACACTATTCAAAATAGTTGAATATTCATTACACACAATTCCATTCCTCTACCCATTGAACACAAGTCTCTTTATGTATTTATTATTTTCACTCTCAGTTGTAATATTCAGAAATAAATAAAAATCAAAATTGTCGAGTTCTGAGCTAATTTAACGATGTCCAGCTATTCTTGTCCGAAGTCCTAACTAAAATAAAACGCCTTGAGATAAATTCTAAATAAAAGTGTATTTTTAATATTTTAACAGTCATGCACAGGACTGTCCCCTTCATACATACGCACCGTGGTAATCAAGAACAAGATAGAAGATAACAATAGGCATTGTCCAACGACATGTAGCTTCACAATTATTCAAAAATCTTTGAAAACAGAAAATTTTAAAATATCGTTGTTGTCAAGGTCAAAATAATGGCAAATGTCTATCTAAAGTTTGGCGCAAATAATGTTTAAGACTATCTAAACGAAAGTTTGATGTAAAAATAATTGCTATCAACCGTAGCCAACAGAAATTTCCAATGTAAATGTAGTGTTATATAATAGATTAAAGAAAAAGTTCGTGGTGCTTTTTTCACAATAGATGGCTGTAAACGCTAAACACAATGACGCGTTGTCTACCGCAAACATACAGCTTGATAGCATCAATATTGTCCATTGTCAGCTATGCGACACTAAAGTGCTCAATACAATGACTACCTTTCGCTTTTTCCTTCATGGACGACACCGTGCACAAAATGATTGGAATACATAGCTTGCTTGCTTGCTGGCTTGTTTTACTGAAGCAAAATCATACAGTTAGTTTGAATAATCGACCCGAACGATTACGATTTGTTTACATAAACAAACTAATAAAGCGCAAAATCAATGAAGCGAAAGATTTCCTTGAAAAGTGATTTTTTGAAGCATAATGCAATTAACAAAGCGAACAAATTTCTTTTCTCAACTAGCAATAGGTAGCCATGTGCTTTAGTTTCATTTTTTTAATCAAAATGCAAATAATCACTTTAAAGCCTAAAATACTAATCATATGATTTTATTTTGCCCTCATAAATACGTGGAGCGAGCGGATATTTCAAAAGTGCTTGCCAAAAATTCACTTCGACGCGATGACGAAAACAAACTGTATATTTAGCTACATATAACCGCCTACAATCAATTCTTTTTTGACAGTTCATGCACGCAAGCAAGCAAGCAGGATGTAAAAAGTCCGCCCCGTTTCTAGCCATTTAGAGTCTCGTAGCTCTGGCAATACTAACTCTATCAAGCGACACTGCGGCGTTTGCAGTAGTTGACAGTCCATAGAATATTATTTTGTACTGTAAATTGAGTTCGCGATGTAAACACGATTCTATACAGAATTGATGCAAGCAAGAAAATCGTTCAAATTTCTATACATTTATCAGCTATAGTTTATGAGTAATGGGCAAAAAAAAAAAAAATTTGTTGTTCCTTTTGAAAAACAAAGATATTCTCAGTTTACGTGGTGCTGTGGACCTGTCCTTCGTCCGATTTGGGCCAATTTCAATACCAACTTGCGTGCAAGAGCTTCCAATGTTTCTGTTGAAGTCGATAGCTTCCATTACATAGAAGGTCAAACTTACATGCCTAGGTCGATTTAGGTACCACTAATGTGGAAATTATACCGCGGACAAGGAATGTAGATCTACGTAGACCTATACTCAGTTAATCTCTATGTCAAATAACTATTATGGGCCGAGTTTAATCATAAGATATTAAACAATAGGTATTCTCGTCATAAAGGCTTATTATTTGTCAGAACTCATGCATTACAAAAGATATACCTACACAATTAAAATTTGGTCCAGTTGATTCTGTTGTCAAACCTACAAACAACTGTGGGATTATTCTTATTGTGAAATATTATAAACTAAGGCTTTGTCCCATGTAAAGGCTTATTTTTCGGACGTAAACTTGTGTAGGATTCATATAAGGCGTTAAATGTTGGGTTGGTGCAAAAATGGTCTGACTCAATCCGCTTTTCGTCTTTGCACCGGAACACGTCAGTTTGTCAAATTCGGTCAAAAAATCTCAAAAAAAAATGTATTCATGTTGAGAGAGAGTTTGTAAGTGTTACAAATGAGATGGCAATTCCAACATAGTTTCTCTCTTTCCCAATATATAAGGAAGCGTTGTAAGGTACTCGATTGTCGAAATTAATGATTTTAAAAGTTTAAAAGTTTCTTGTCACGCTTGAATATTGCGTACGCAGTTAACTATGGCAATACTATAATCTTATTGTGTAAATATGGTAACATTTTTTTTTTTTTTTATGTATGACATGTGTGAGTGCGTTAATAGCAAAGGGATGAAGTTTCGCTGTCATTAGTTATTTATATTTGTTGAAAACAATTTTTTTATGAAGTGAAAAATCTTTTAAGGAAGTTAAAAAATAATTAGAATAAAAAAATGTTTGGTACACTTAATAACTTTTTAAGTGGAGTCGCTCGTGCTTGGGCAGTTAATGATGGCGTAAATTTGGCTTCTTTCGTTTCGTTGAAAGATAAACATATCATGAACCGCAATTTATACGTGGAGATGCCGGAAAATGCAGTTAGTCGCATATTGGAAGCACCTATCGATGAAATAGTTTGTGCTCATATAAAAGTGTTGTATTATTTAAGTTTGGAACGTAAGCGCATATATTTTGCCCTTGATGGAGCGAATGTTGTTGTTTAATTTTTCTTTTCAATATTTTAGCCCGTGATTTTCCGTTGGCCTATCGTCATCAATCACAATGTGTGCAGTCGGTTGTGAAAATGTTGCAACAATTGAAAGAGGAAAATTGGTGCCTACCTATTATGTATACGGTGTGCTTGGACTTGCGAATTTTAGCACAGAAATGCGAGGAGCTGGGTAGTGGCTCGAAACCGGGCGAAATACTTGAAAGGGCAGCCGATTGTTTAATGAGTTGTTTTCGTGTATGTGCGGCAGATAATCGGTAAAAAATCTATGTACATTTTCCAAGATTCGTCAAATATATTCGCATATATTTTCAGATCTTCGGACAGCGAAACCAAACGCTTAGGAATGTTAAATTTAGTTAATCAACTGTTTAAGGTCTACTTTCGTATAAATAAGTTGCATTTATGTAAACCCTTAATACGTGCAATTGATAGCAGTGCTTTTAAGGATACATTTCCGTTGCCAGAACAAATTACTTATAAATATTTTGTCGGTCGCAAAGCCATGTTCGATTCAGATTATAAAAGTGCCGATGATTTTCTATCGTTTGCCTTAAAATATTGCCCAAAAAATTTTCCTCATAATAAACGTCTCATTCTTATCTACCTGGTGCCAGTTAAAATGTTACTTGGTTACATGCCAAAAAAGTATATCTTAGAATGCTACGATATCCTGCAATTTCATGAATTGAGTGAAGCATTAAAAGAGGGCAATGTACGGAAATTCGATGATGTTATACAGCGTCACGAATACTTCTTTATTAAATGTGGCATATACTTGTTAGTGGAAAAATTGAAATTCATTGTGTACCGTAATCTCTTTAAAAGGGTGTATTTGATTAAGCAAACCCATCAATTGGATTTAAATGCTTTTCGTTCGGCTTTACGATTTGTTGGCGAGAAGGATATGACCATCGATGAGACGCATTGCATTATCGCCAATTTAATCTTTGAGGGTAAAATTAAAGGTTACATATCGCACAGTCACAACAAGTTAGTCGTATCTAAACAGAATCCTTTTCCTGCACTGAATACCGTCTCATGAAAGCGGCGACCGCATAAATTATTTGACGATTGAACTTTATATTTAACAATACTTATATTTTATGACTTGTAAAAAAACGACGAAGATATCCGAATTTTGAAAATAAAGCAAAAGAATATGCAATGTTAAAAGAAAACTGTTTCAAGTCTTGTATTCTTATATTAATAGGAGCAAACAGATTTAAGATTAATGTTCTCTAATAATATTAGTTTTGCTTTTGCCTATTTTTTTATTTTATTTATTTATTTATTTTTTTTTTATTTCTAGATATACAAGAATTCTATGAACTAACTCTTTTAGATGATTCTAAGACTACACAACAAAAAACTGTGGAAACACTGCAAATTGCCAGCAAATGGGAGCAAGACGGTCATACCGTCAAAATTGCTGATGTAAGTATATGCCAGTCTATCATATTTCATAACAGCGAAAGAAAATAAAATTTCCAATGTAAAAGCAAAAGAAAGTCAATGAGGTTGAAAATTATTTCAAAAATGTATACAAATGTATACAAAATAAACGTGAGACCTTGAAATAGTATAAATTATTTACTTAAAATTAATAAATATCTAAATGCCAGACATCGATAGGGTTATGAGAAAAACGTGAAGCAGATGTTTAATAGAATATGAGTTTTCCAACTCGCCCATAAAGAGATAATTTAATTGAACGAAACAAATTATAATAACTCGACATGAAGCATTCGCTTCGATGCCTATGTCTTTCAAGCAGCATATAAATAATAGTGCATTTTGTTTGGGTAATTACAAGTTTTCTTGGATGCTTCTGATAAATATTTTTATAAAAGCTGTTCCATTGTCCATTCTGGGCGCTTGCATTTGAAGTTTTTGATATTTCATACGATAATAACTACGTAATAGGATGTTAGCTTTCCTACTTTAAGCCTATCGACACGGACGGATTCTCGTTGTGATAAGGTAAGAGTAAGTCTAGTTATATCCCAACGATTCGATAGTGGGTATAGAAAGTGCAAGAATATTTTTAAACAGTCGCCTGTTAGTTGGTTCATGTCCCAAATTCCAACATTCTATCTCAATTTTCGCGCCTCTGGCCATTCCGAGTAGCCGGCATACGAGTGTTTCACAGCAATAATGTTTACATTAAATGATGCTACCATGTAACTCTGCTAATATAACGGCTAAACTCGCGGCGCAGAAATTGAAAGATAACTTTGCTTTATAAAAAGGAAAAGTAAGATGCTAGGAATAGTATGCTTGAAAAGAACACATGATAATATCAGAAAAGTCAATAGTCGATGTGCGAGGGTAGACTTCTACTTTCAATTTTATCAATTTTGTAATCGATTAGCCAGTTTTTTACCTTGATCAGACCACCGTGAAGGGACGATCACACATGCACGTGCAGTTCGCGATTTTTGATATATTTTGACAATATTTGGTAGACTGACGTGTTTTCGATTGGTATGAACGCTGTTTAAAATGACTTGGATCGGAATACTTCTACGACCACTGTGCTTATCATTAGTTATTTTGAAAAAGTCATTATATGCAAAAAAAAAAAAAAACAATGCTTTATAGTATTTTAGACATTACTACAGAACTGATGTGAAATTTTGGGTTAGATGGAATCACTTTTGAGCCATGTCATATACTGCCTAATTGCAAAAAGGTCTAATTTTTAATAATTTATGATGGAAATTATTCTATGAGAGTATTTTGGCATAAAAATTAACCCCAGACCGTTTGGCCCACGGAGTTGTATTTCTTGGATGCAATTCCATATCAAAAATAAATCTTTACATGGCAGTAAAGTTAAAATTTCAACACTTTTCGACAAAAATACGTATAGGACTATTTTGGGAAATTTCGGATTAAGACGGTCAGAAATGCATGAATTTTTTTTTTGTTATTTCATCAGGAAAGTGAATGAAACGTTTCACTAGACGAAGTGGTGCAGCGTATTTAATGATGGGCTTTATCCGCCTATAATGTATTTATTTATTAAAGATAGCAAGTGTATATAACATATTCGACTGTAATCGACAAGAATAAAAAAAAATTTTTTTGATTTCAATTTAATATTGGAGGCGATGGTTTGAAAAGCGTTATCATGAATCCAATACAAAAATATATAGTTAGATTAAGCTGGTTCGATTCGGCGGCTCTTGATAATGGTTAAGTATATAGAAATACTTAGTCATATGCAATAAAAAATTTGCAATGGATATGAGAAGTACGAGGGCATGCCTGATAATTAGCCTTGAGATGAATGTTGTACAGCAGTTGAGAACATTTGTTAGTAAGAAAACAAAAAAATTAGACAACGTATGGTAAATGGTGACATCGACTCAGTCATATATACACTCTATTAGTTGCCGGAATGACTATAAATGCGTTGACGGTATGTGTGTGTATGTATGTGTTTACATTAAGTAAGAAAGCTGCATTTAACTTGAGATAAATTATTCGGTTCTTGTGGTGACCGATACCACTCTGTCCCTGAATTCTTAGTCGACTTCATTCCATACCAATATTCTATATTAATATCAAAAAAAAAAAAAAAAATTCTTTTTTCGTTTTGTGATTTGTTTTTCGGATTGTTATCATCAAAGGTAAATATGGGAAATGTAACTAATTTCTTGTTACACATATATGGATGGACGAAGGCATTGAGTAGAGAGTAGAATTTATTGATTTAATAATATTCACCTTGATGTAAATAATACTCCCCTTTTGAGATTGCTATTGCCTTGTACCTTAGGGACTCTGTTAACTTTTTTATATTATGCCGTGAAATTTCACGAGCCTATGGTTTCATTTTCTGGCTGAGACAATATCGCGCTAAGTAAGAATATCAGATGGAGTTGTTGTCATTGTTTACATTCCTAGGAGTGTTCGTACACTTAATTCTCTTTTTACACGATAAATTCGTTCCCAAAGAATTCGTGTAAAAAAAGATATTGCTTACATGGAAAAATAGCAGATCGGTTCCAAAGCTAAAAAAAGCAACTGAAAAGTACAATATCAACAGTATCGAAAAAATTCTTATTAGAGTTCACTTGAGGAGGATTTATTTCCATTTTAGTTCGTTAAATATATTGTAAAAAAAAAAAAATTATACTTTGAAAAACGCATTACACCTGTACTCTGTGCATAATTCGGGGAATCCCGTATCGTATGCACTTATATCGAGGAGTGAGAATGAGAAAATTCATAAACAAAATTCATTGAATATTGAAAAATCGAGTTAAGACAAAACAATTCGTGTAAAAAGGGTGGTTTTTTCCGCACATTGCTGACCGGCGATGAGTTAACTTGTCATGGGACTTGCGTTATCTATTTCAATTTAAGAAAGCCAAGTCGAAAGATTCGCGCACCGTAAGGACGAAAATCATATACCGATGAAATAACTTACAGCATCTCCCTGAAGGAAGTTCACTTTTAATTGTGAAATGTTTCTTTACTTTACTACTTTCATATTCGATTACAAAAGAATAGCCTGCAATAGCATGGCATAGTTTCTGCGAAGAGAAAGAATTGCCGATGGAAGAAGTCAATGACGATTGAATATGAATTTCGTTAGGGAAGCATCGGTATATCTTATCTTGACGTTTATGCTGTTATGTTACAAACCGATCGACAACGTTAGTACGCCTGTAACGTTTTGTAGTAGGCCCGTTTAAACATAAAAAGGCAACTTATGATGATTGTTATTAGCATCTCTTATGTGCTAATAAGTATAAAATGTAAACGAGTTCGCTGAATATATTGTTAAACATAATCTCTTGTACACATAGTTTTATGCACAAACTAATTTACGTACGTGCATAGTTACAGTCCATTCCATATAAATGTGACATTTAAAGCGCCTGGCTTGTTATCGCTCTTGCTCTCGCCAACAGTTTGTCTTTAACAGAATTGAAAAATCTTTGGAATTTTCTTTGAAATCCATCTGTTCATATATTACGGAACGAACTGTATGTATGTGTGCGTGTATGTGCGTGCATATGTTTAAAATTCGTATGTACAACTGTACGCGTTCCTCCTCGATTCATGGAATGAAAAAAGCCAAAAAAAGAAAAAAAACCTAAACTAAATTTTTCTCGTAGGAGGGAAAATTTTTATTTTCTTCATTTTCAGTCGAAAATTTGTTGTGTTCCGTATATGTCTGAAAATTGAAATACACGGCACGGCGTAAGCAATATGCATCCGAACATAAGATGATTATTTTGTAAAAAAAAAACTAAAAGGAAAAATAAACAAAATTTTCGATATGAGTTTCGCGATATTTTCCATTTAACCTTTCATGCCTTAGTGGCTTTCTCATTGTTCACTTAACGCGTAAGGTGTTAGGTGCGAGATGCGAGATGTGTGTGTGTGTGTGGTATATGAATGCTAGTGCGATATAAATTTACAAGTTTCATCATTCTTATCTTTACTTTATCAAAAAAAAAAAGAAAAAAAAAAAACAAATTGTTTACACAAAGCAACACAAGCACAAGCACAAGCAGAATGAATGAATGAAAACAATCAAATGAATCATATACTACCTGCGTGCGTAGATTATATATATATATAGAGCTTCAATTTTTTTTTGTTATTCTTTCCCGAATAAATATGAATAAAAAAAGTTTATTATTCTGTAAGAATTGTTGCTATTAAATATTTAATTTGCACGGCAATCAATTCTCTTCACACAACACAAATATATTAAATGCGATGCAAATAGTTTGCTTGAATATTTGATCGACAATTTGATCTGATTTGACATATCGCTATGATTGATTGGGTTTCTATAGTTCGACATTCACGTCGTCGTTTTTCAAATTCGTTTTTGCACGCTCGCTCACCGGTGCGTATACGTCGCCCGCGACGTAATCAAATATTATCTTCATCATCGACAAGCTCATCGCCACAACATCAATTGCCATCACCAGCAGCAAGTTCTACGCATGCACACGCACAATGCACTTGCATGGCTCACGAAAATCATGCTATCAACGCTAGAAAAACTAAAAATATTGCTCATAATAAAAATAAAACAAAAGTCAAAACATGTTGTTCGCATCATCAACACGATCATCTCTGTGTAAGTAACAAATTAAACTCGTTTTACTGCGATTGCGATCTATTCAATACATTCGCCTTCAAAAGGTATCTGTAAAGAGAGAAATCAAGTAACAAAACTGTATTTTGTATTTGCCTTATGCACGACGACGCATGCTTCTCATTTTAGATTTCAAATTTCAAATCATTACATAATGGACATGTTTCGTAAGCGTTAACTCCGCGGTGTCTTTCATAATCATAATCATGTGCTGTCATCCCCTTAAAGGGCCACGAGGTAAGGGATAACTGAGATCTGGCTATGAGTTGAACTTGAGCGCAAGCTGAGCTTGAGCTGAGCGTTCGCCCATGAAACTTTGTATCGCTCTTTTCCACTCTTGACCAATTCATCAATAGTCAGAGTCTATCGTACACAATATCTCTTGCACTTCTCACACTTACTTACCCCGGAATCAAATTAAGGTATTTCCTCACTTCAATCATACTTTGAATAATCACCTTTGACGTGGCATATATCGCATTATAACATCGCATACATCGCATATAATCGATCGCTGAGATTTCCATCCGGCACTGTCAGTCTTAATTATATAATAGCAACGATAGGTCAACTTATTACTGTAGTGTAATCTGTTGCGACAGATTTAGTGCAAATTTCTTGTATTGTCCACCAAATGGGGGGAATCATAAGCTCGAGACTAGACAATTATTAAAAAAAAAAAAAAAATTTAATAAATATATCAACGGTTGAAACAACCTATTTGTGGTTGTCTTGCCCTTCATTACGGATCTTTCCACTTTACAGCCAAACAAAGACTACCACTACTACTACTGCTACTACTACTACTACTGCTACTACTACTACTACTACTACTACTATTCATATGTAACTATGAACCTTTTTGGCTAACACCATAAATACATAAAATATTTACACAGATATATATACATATATAACAAGTGAAAAAGTTCGTCTCCCATTGACCTCATTGCGGTTATCATAAGGAAATATGTAAAAACTAAAGTGTTCCTTTCTGATTGTAGCTTTCGGAATCTTGGCTCCAGGCAGGTGGATTAAGACCAATTTTAAATTCTATTACTAAAAGCTCATACGCCGACTTTTATATGTGTTTTTCAATTTTCGTATAACCATTAAACGGACATAGTCAAATCGATCCGACATCGGACGCTGGGAGCGCGGCATTGTTTCTCCTGCTCCTCTTCCTCCTCCTCCTCTCCCTATCTCTCTCTCTCTCTCGTTATTTTCAGTTTTCCAAAACAATTCCCAACTTGAAGGTTTCAAAAACAGACAGCAGATGTCCCGGACTCACGACACAGCTAAAGGGGAACACATTAGCACATTAATGGGAAAGTATAAGGAAAAATTTAATGGTCAAGGAAAGAAATTAGAGCACATTGTACTGTGAAACTGTGCAAGTAGCGGCAGTGCGGACATTGTAATCTATTATAATAGGTCTTGATGGCTTCGGGGTCACATAAGCATCAATAAGTAGATAAATGAAATCCTAAATTCTAGACCAAAACCAACCTTCTACAGCAGATGTAAGGAAGATTCTAAGGGAATTCAATAAGGAACACAGACTGCCGTGCTTACAAAGGGGCAGAGGCTGCTAAAACCGCGAACAAGGGTGCTCATCTAAAGATTGATAATATTACCATAAGTGATAACACAACCATTACCATGTTCCGCAGTAAGAATTATGTATATCTTTACAACTCTGCTGGTGCTGGCAGTACAAGAGTACAAGTTCGTGAAGGTATGTCTTCGTAATTGCTTCACACGAGGAGCATGTAACGTACTTTGCCTAGTTTACATGAAGCTTCAAAACTTCGATACATTCCCGAACTGCTTGACTTGAATACTCACACAAACAATTTTTGCAAAAATAATCCCCTAAAGTGTTTGATTATTAAGTTTTGTAACAACCATGTTTTAAATACTGTTAAATGTAGACCGAATATTTGTGCCGAAATATTCGACGTTCCATTGAATCTTACCTTCGTTTCTTTTTTAAGCAACTATTGGTTCAATCCAATTCAATTTCAGGAGCGTTCATACTTGGATCAAAATATGTTATGTATTTCGAGAAATCAGATAGATAGGTAAACTGAGGGACGTTCGCCGATTCAGAATCATTTTCGAATTCCCCAAATTGATCAGAATCATTCTCTGAGCGCAGTTTTATTTCAATTTCCTCTGGGTGTTGTTGCATACATTCCCCGAAACTTAATATGCCGATGCACTAGGTCCAAAGGGATCCACAAAGTACAGCCCAGCGTTACATTATATTAAATTGACCAATTGCACTTGATGTAAGAAACAAAATTTTACCCATTCATAAAGCCATCGAGCCACAAGCGTGTATCTTCGAATATGATGCACTGAGTATTGATTCAATGAGTAGTGTCATACACGACTTACAGCGCCTTACTGGAATGTCGTTGTCGCCCAGCTTTGCCATTCGTCTTCAGGTTCTTTAATTATATTGATAAGGTACGAATGGCACAAACTGATTAAGAACACGGCAAGTCTCGATCGGCGAGGCGTGCAATCATTATATTCCTATCCTCGTCGACAGTTCAACTGTAGCTTGGGCTTAAATTCAATTAGAGCTAGTGCTCGTTAAGCCCAAATTTTATTTTCATCTTAAAGATGCCCTTTCGGATTTTTTATCGATCAAGCGCTAGCGATGTCGATCAAATCAAGACTTTAGTCTGTTGTCACCCTTATTGTATGAATACAAGATGGGGGATTAACTTCCAACAATAACTAATCGATTGTTTCGAGGCAAATTTGCGCATAGACGTCAAGACTTCTGAGTTTTATTTTCCACCTTTAGATCAGCGAGTGCGTCACTTTTGAAATTCAATTTTTAACTTGTAATCATGAAATTGCAATTTTAAAATTTCTGCTGACCTTTGCCGCAAAAACGGTGTTATATCATACACCTAGGGGTGTACGCCTTTTAATATACCAATCTTGATTGTCTGTCTGTCTGTCCATCTTGGTTTATTGTGTTTAACCAACAGGCCGTAATTTTTGAGATATTTTTATGATATTTAGTACACTCACGTGTTTTGCCCCAAGGACGAACGCCATTAAAAATGGTTCCGATCGGACTACTTTTTCAACCGCGTACCATATAACGCCCTTTACTTTCAAAAGCCAATATATTAAAAATTTTGGAATGGTATAGGGTGTGATAGGCCGTGGCCTATTATCGGCTTTTTACTTGCTTTCTTGTTTCTTTGTAATGTGCGTTGGAACCTAATTAAATAAGAACATAGGAAGCAGGAGAGGAGTTCGGCTTGACGGACTTTTATCGAAGCGAGAAAAAGGCGATACCTTTTTGCTTATAGCATTAGGTATAGAAAGTTATATATGTATATATAGAGTCTATGGATCAATATGCACATATGCATATACATGCGTATCAGCAATATTCGATACGTAATTCATTATAGTTAGTAATGAGTTATGCTTTGATATGAAGCAAAATTTCGTCTTTAATTTGCAGTTTTCAACTTCAACTAAGATCTTATAAGCGGTGTTCCAGCTGGCTATCTAATATGTATGTATTCCGAAATCAGACAAGTTTTTGAATTTCTGTGTTTTACAAATAGGTGGAAGAGATCATTTAGTGCCTCTATATAGTGCTCTTTAGTAGTGAAGGGTGAAAGTGTTTTGTTGTTGAGCATTTTCGCCGTGAATTTTCAGATAATCTTCACAAATATTGTGTCAAATGCTGGATTAGCATCTGCTAAGCATTACATAAGTTACAGTTGGGTGCCTTTTGTGGATATGACTGTAGAGGAATTAGATCATTTTTCCCGCTCAATCTTTAGATTTTGGATAGGCTAATGTAAAATCAACGCGTAACAATGAATACAATGAATATTTCCGTTTGTAGTAAGCGGAAAGAGAAATTTAGAAAACTTTTATGTTTTCAAATCTGAGATTACCTTTTCAGTTTTTCCGATCGACATTTCGAGATCTTAATAGCAGTTTCAACAAGCGCACACGTGGCCGATGCGATCTCTCACACCTCACTTTAATCAAGAATATATACAAATATTTCTCTTTCGCTGTTCGCACTGATCAAGACCGTGTGCGCATAAGTATTTCATGCAATCTCCAATCCATGTTTCTAAGCGCGTTACGAAGATATGAAATATTTAATAGAACCACTTGTAGTAGATATATAAAGAGGTTTGTTTTTCGTTTAAAAAATCTTATTAAACACAAAACAACTATCATATATATTTGCTAAAAATTTGATTAGCAAATCGTTACATAATAATATTGTTATCCTATTGCAGAAAACGTGTTTCCCTCCTATGGCGTTTTAGTAATACTTGTTCTATTCTTGTTCAACTTACTGATATAATGAGTGCAATGAAATATTGATTGCTTTCTTGCATTAATTTCCTTTTTATTTTTTATATATCGTTAATAATACATGTTTTTCTCTTCATACTTTATACTTTTTTGTTTAGAATCAAGCCGTAAAAGTAGAAAATGATGGAAACCGTGCGGCTGACAAAGCCGACGTGAAAATAGCAGGAACAACAACAACAACAACAGATGCCAACACAGTTAAAGTGAACGACATGCAAACTCAAAACAATGGCCGACAACAGCTATCACATCAAACCGGAAATTCTGATGTAAATATCGTAAGTTCATATGAAGTGTGTTTCACTGCTGGCGTTTATAATTTAATTTATTACACTTAAATGCTACTACCAAAGAATATTTTGCTCGTCTTAAAGGACTTATAGCATAATATGCTTGCCTCTCGACGTTACTTCAATTTTTTTGTAACTCTTCATTTTTGTTATTATTAATTATTATTATTATTATTATTATTATTATTATTACTATTATGATTTTCTTTTCCTATTAATATGTGCCAAATATGTACCTAAAAACATACATTCTCAATATTTATTGCATTCTTCCATTCATTGCATTACAAGCTACAAGCAAAAAATAAATTAAACTTGTAACAAAGTTGTATAATTTTTTTTTCTTTGCTATTTTGTGCTAAGTAATTAAACGATATCATTCTACTTATTATTATTATATATTAAAAATGCTTTCATGACCGTATATAAGAGTATTAAAAAAGTAATAATGTATGTACGGTTATATGAATTAAAAATTTTATTATCAAAAAATTTATAATTAATTTTTATGCCGTGATTTCTTTTATTTCCTTTTATTTTTGCATATTATCTTCACTCTGCATGTGTGTTAATAAAATTTTTTGACGAATATTTCTCCTTTTTTTTAATAATTTTATTTTTTATTTAATCTTGTAAAACGTATGTGATTTTCGTTAAAATGGTTTGTATTTAATACAGAATTTTTTTTCTTGTCATGACATTTTTTTATAAATTTTTATAATCCCCTTAAGGCCAATAATCAAGGATGAGACACGAAGAAGAAGAAGATGCGTATACTTTCCTCTCACTTTAATAGAGACGCTTGTTTACGAAGCTTTTTACTTAGTTTGTTATTAAAACATTTTCTGATTTAAAAAAGCAGAAAAAACGTCAGCTGTTACATTCGTTGCCGTTTTAAGAATTAATTTTATGCAAAATTATAGTTCATGGTTTATCGTATATCGTAAATATAATTATTACAAATAAATGTGCGTTTTAGGCTTAATAAATGGTTAGGCAACTCTGAGAATGAATTCGCTCTGTGTATGATGCTTACTGGAGTAAGCGATCGTTCAAAGTTGATGCGCCGGGTTGGGTTCTTAGAAATTCGTATAAAAAATGATAGATAAGCATATTGCTTAAAAAAAACACTTTGTGTTTTCGTGTTCCCATTTTTGTGCTTTATGAGAGTAAAAGTAGTAGAGTATTTGCAAAACTTTGGCAAATACCGCAGCAATTCGGAAAAGTATAACGCCGACATGAAGGCATTGCCATATAATAGAAACAAATATCACATAAAAATTCTCTCACTGCCGCGTACTTCATTCATTCAGTCAGTCATTATTTTTACTCGGTATGCGATTCGTAAACGCGTAAGGAATTTTTTTTATACTATTATTAAAGAGGCTTATGCTTTTAAACGGCGGCATTTATGTGGAAGTTAAGTGAAGGAAATTAAGAGAGAAATGAGTTGAAATGAAATAGTAACTAACTGCTGGTAATAAAGTGTAAAAAAATATTTTATATAAATAGTTTGATGAAAAGCGCAAAATGGCTGATTGGAAATTTCTTTTCATGGCGATGTTTTGTAAAAAAAGGTTGCTTGGCGACCAACCTCATACAGTTGCTAATTTGTGATTTATATATGCATATGAATATATATATATAAAGTAGTCGTATGTGTGTTTGTATGTGTGCGTGCGTTATTTTGTAGTACGTACAATGAAGGGAAAGCCAAGAGAGTTCATAAATAATTGAAATATTTTATCTAAACAACAATAACGACGACGACGACGACGATACGAAGTAACATGCAAGTTGCAAGTAAATGAATGTAACAGTGTGTGCTATGTGTTTGTTAGCGGTGCTGCAGAATGTTTTGTATATCAAGCGATTGTTTTTTTTTTTAATTTAGCAGCAATATTTTTTTTTTTGTTGCATACATGCGCTGCGGAAAAATGTGAAAATATTTTTTAAATTTGACGATAAAATTAATTTTGAACGACCGTTTTTAAGATTATTAAAAAAATAAATCTTAGTTTGTTAGATCGTTCTCAACAAGTGTAAAGTAAAAAAGCCAGAGAAGATACACCGAAAAAAAAATCATGTTCAGTAACACTTTGCAAATATTGCCGATGTACGTTCTGGAAAATGATATGAGAGCGAAATATTGCATCGGCTACCTATATACGCTATTAGTGCGTATAAAAATTTGTTGTTGTCATTTTTGATAACTCTCATGTATCTTATTAAATACCGGAACATTCATAGAGAAGTAAAAAAAAAAAAAATACGAAAATATAACGTAAGAGAAAAAAAAAAAAACAACTGCCATACAAAATGTAATTATTAAAACCGTGCAATCTTATAGTTGTTACTGCTGTTTACACATTATTTCCCATTTCATTATCGGTGTTTCTATTACGACGAACGTCTCCTTAAATAAAATTAATATCATTGACTGACTAACTCTACATATCGTGAGTGTATATGCTTGTGTGTCAAATGTATATATAGATATAAATATATATACATATATATATATATATATATATATATATATATATATATATGTATATACATATGTGTATATATATATGTATATACATATGTGTATATATATAAATAAAATAAAAAAGTAGTACATTTTTGTAACGTGAGTGTGCGCTGTGTTTTGTGGAACTGATCTCGGTCGTTCAGTCGGTTAAGTGAAACAAGAGATGACCACACGTAAGAAGAAACGTCAAGAAAGTGGTGGAAGCGGTGGTGGTGGGGGTGGTGGGGGTAGTAGTGGCAGTAGCGGATTCATCAAAAAGGTTTCGTCACTATTCAACTTGGACTCGGTAATTGTCGCAATGCCTGCAATACATGCCTATTTATTATATACGTTAAGCGTTACGAGTATAAATATTTGTATTCATTACAGTTTTCAATATAAACTTGGGCTTTTTTTTCTAAGCAAATTATTCATGCTTTTTTTTTTTTTTTTTTTGCAATCAAATGTGAAGAGAGAAATATAAAAAATATTACATAAAATACATTTAAATGAATATATGCACTTTTGCATATATTAAGAACGATAGTTGGGGGCGTGAGTGCGTGACACATACATTTATTTATGCATTTGTGTAAGTGCGTCTGCGTCTATATGTATTATGAATACAGATATGTGACGAATAGGAAAAAAATTATTTTTCACATCTTTTTTGAATGATCTGAGCATTTATTATAATAGCGATCGATGATAACATCGTTTATTTTTAAATTTCCTCAAGCTTCTTAAAGCTCCCTGAAAATTTTGATTAAGTATTTAACGCAGTATGCTCGTCACACAATATATATATGCATGTTTAACAACTGCCCCTCTTCCCTTCCTTTCGGTTATAAGTTTTGACCGACTGTTGATAAGTTGATGGCTTTTTTCGTGATTTTCCATACAAAAACTATATATCGATGCGCTAGAAATGCACTCTTCACATTTTCCACATTATTTGACACTTTCGTTGCTGACATATGCGGTATTACGCAGTATTTCATATGCAGACTTTGCCTGCAAACATAGCTTTATAGCGGGCAAACGTCAATTGGAACATTCCTTACTCCGTGTGCAGCAGGCAACGAAAGTCTGAGTAATAATGATAAATATAATATAAAATGTCCTTTAAGCCGGTTTTCTACATGTTCACACAATACCGCCTTCGGATAATAAGTGGAATTTTTTATTTTCTAATTTCGCGCCTTTCGCGAATTGCAAAGCAAAGGTTTTTTTTCAGTTGCTGCAACTATCATAAACAATTGATAAAATGTTGATTCGTTGAGTCGTAAGTTAGAGCCTTTTTTGTAAGTTGTTTTTAAAGCAGTCAGTGGTTTTGCTTTAAGAGCTGTTATGGATTCGAAATGATTAAAACGACGCGATTTCTGCTTTAATCTTGGTAAAAGAAAATCGTCATCCGGAACGGTGTGAGATGAATATAATGGATGGAACAAGTGCTGTTTAAAAATTTATGGATAATTAAAGCGAAGCAAAGAACACAAATCGTCTTGCGATCAATACGGACGTTTCTCACGAATAGACGATCCATAAAGTATTATCAATTAATTTTGGAACGACTTGCGCCCAGACTTTTACGTTTTTTTTTTTCATAGCTGGTACCTTTTGTAAATCTTTGGTTGCGTCATTGTTTTATCGCCAGAACATTTTGTTAGCATTTATGCTAAATGCTCTGGACATGACACAATGGCCATTTTCATTAGTGTTCGTCTTCGGTTCAAAATATGTCGATATATCAAATGTCATCAAAATATGCCAAAAATTTTGACCTGTAGATTAAACATACAAATACAAGACGAACGGACGGCGGACAGATGGACAGACAAGCTTGGATCAATTATGAAAGTGATTCTGGACTGATCGGTTTAATAAAAAGCTACTCTATTTTAAGTCTTTCTAGGTATTGCATACATTGACACAGACCTGTTCTGATAATGTTGATGTTTTCGTCCAAGCAAAAAAATGTTTCGGATTGAACCACTTTTTCATTTTTGGGAAAGTCATTGACATGAAGAAACTTGGAGTGACGCAGGATATATAACAGCAGGTCATAGCACACTTTAGTGATCTTATTGGTTTTAAAGTAATGTCAAGTCAACACCAAACTCGTTACTCTTCTAAACGAACTGAGTATTTTTGCTTCGAAAATTGGGAAAACTCTTTCAAAATTTCTAAAATATACTGTACAATTAATTGAGTTGGGCGTCTATTGGTTTCGTCTGGCATTTTTTCTTGCTCGCGGGTCTCGCTCCTTTTTTAGTGCTTACAGCGATTAAATTATAATTCTTTCATTTTGCATCAAGCTTGATATGAACCCATCTCCTCCTATTTTAGTTCCATTAATGTTATAATAATGTTTTCCTCATTCATTCTCATAAATTAAATAATTAAATAATTTATAAACATAAATATACATTATGTTCAAGGAATAGGACCAATTTAATTTTGCTCTCTTTTA